GAATGAAAAAAAAGAATTTCATTTACTTATGTAATTTTATGTTAACTTATGTAATACTTGTGTTCTTTAAAAAGCTGTAACTTTTGACTCTGTAGGTCGGGAGGCTGGGAATGTCTTCATCATACTATGGAGCTGTATGGGAGTCTTGGGCTTTAGGTCCTTCTAGATTCATCAGAGTTTTAGCAACTAATAAATAGACACATTGTGTGGAATATGTAGAACAGTATGAAAATGATAATATTAGTAATCTAAAGTTCATCAGAGCTTGAACAGTGACAGATGCATGAAGTCTGTGACTGTACGAAAATGCTATGGAAAATATGGTAGGATATTGGGTTCTTTTGGAGACTGCAAACAGTACAACTGGGAACTGGATGATTATTCAAAATTTCATCTTAAGTTTACAGTCTGTACAAAGACTCATAAAAATGAAATCAATTCAGTAATTGTAACCCCTGTGCTGTGAGCCTTAAGGTTGTCTTTTAAGTTTACATCAGGTATTGTGCTGTGTTGCCCAACAGAGTATATGTATTTTTAAATGGTATTTCCCCTTCCACACTTGTGTTTTCAGTGTTAACGTTTGGCAAAAATATTGGAGTGAAAGATAGCTTTCTTGCAGTGAACTGTTACATTCTTGCTAGGAGCAGGAGAAAGGTTTGGTAATGAGGAAGGGAGGAGGAGGCAAGTCTTGGAGTAATTTTGCTCAAAAGTATGCATGAAACTAACTGGATTTCAGAACCAGTAAAAGCTGGCAACTTCTCATTAATAGATAGAATGATCCCATCTGCTACAGAGATTTCTGCAAATCTTTCTGCCTCTCTCTCCCATCTTTCTCTCTAAAACTATTTCAAAAATTATTAGGAGAGACTATCATAGTAGTAAGAAAAGTAGGTACCTACAAAAGGAGATGTAGTGTCTAGTTTGTCTCTTGCCTTCTTTGCTCTGTCCTGATATGTTTTGTCTTTACAGCAATGCTTTAGAATTAAATAGCAGCTAAGATAATGGTGACAATCATTTCCTGCATTGCTCTACATAAAGTAGAGCATATGGAAAGTATTTTAGACCCTAGACAGACGGGAGCAGTTGAGGCTGGAGATGTTGAGTGTGGATGAAATGTGATGGTCAAAGATGTGTGCTTGGCATGTGTATTTTACTGGAATCACAGAGCTAATAACTGGCTGTTCCTGGGGAAAATAGGCTGTACACAATCTTGGTTCTTTCTCCAGACAAATCTCTTCAGTATCTTGAGAGGTCAGAGCACTGCAAGCATGCCATGATGTCTCTGTGTGGCCTTGTTCCACTGAATGCTATGTTGAAATGTTAGCTGATGAAAGGCAGCCTTATGGTCATTGAAGTCAGGGATCACTATTTACTGGCTCCGCTGCTCTTGTGGAATTTCTCCACTACTTCTATATTTCTCGTATATTACAGTTCTCACTGGCCTGTCGCCCTCTGTGTGTGACCAGCTGCATGCCAGTGCCTCTGAAGAGGTATTTATTCTTGATTCCTCCAGGCCTGGTGGGAGTAGCTTGTGTTGTAGTGTGGTACTGTGTAGTCAAATGAACAGTACAGTGGCTTCTATTTCTGAGCAGAAACTGTATGACAGAGATCATGCAACTCATGCCCCTTCTACTGCTGACTTAGAAAAGGTTTTATTCAAGTTGCTGCACCTTAGCTTCTCTATCTGTAAAGCTTTACTTCCTTCTTCACATGGAAATCTTTCAGGGCAAAGTGTTATTTAAGGGTTGTATTCATACAGATATTTTATGACATCTCAAACATACAGAAAATATGTTGTAACTTTGAATACCTAATGTTTGAACAGAACCATTTCAGGCACATGTACTTTTTCAGTCCAGGGTTACACTGAACATTTAAACCAGCTGATAATATCATGTGAGTGTCATAATAATCGTAATGGTTTCATTGCAGATGTTCCTGTACTTCAGTGAACTGGGGCTGGTTACGTGCTCTGCTGACCATCTCATTATTTTGTGGAAGGATGGTGAACGCGAATCTAGACTCCGCAGTTTAACGTTATTTCAGAAACTGGCACAAAGTGGTGATCTGCAACCAAAATTTTAAATTGCTTGAATACAGGCTAAATATGCATAACTGGATATACATTAAATGAATGTGAATGTGAAGGAAAGTCTGCAGTCTTACTGTGGGTTAACCTACACTGGAGTTGATATAACACCACTATGATGTCTACCATGAAGTGTGATTGATTCAAGTTAGTCATTGCATAGTGTACTCATTGAATTCATTTGTCTGTCATGAAGGTGCAGTCCTTACTGGGGATTTTCAGGATGTAAAATATTTTCATAACCAGTAGTAATTGATCTGTTCTGTCAGCTGAACACTTGAATAAAATTTGACTGCAAAGAAACTTACTTTATGTAAGTCCAGATAGTATTTTAGAGTTTAAAAACATAAAGCCTCCAAGTACACAATGCCTTTTTCAAGTCTGAGAAAGAGGCAGTAGTCTGCAAAGCTGAACTTTCCAATGCCATTGCTTCCTTTTGAGTCAGTGAGTTAACTGTTTTCAGTACTGTAGACTCCAGTGGCTTAAGTCCAGGTTTGAAGTCCAGCAGCTGCAGTGTATGTAATTAGAACAGAGCCAAGTGGATCCTGACCAGAGCAAAAGCAAGAGGAGGCACTCCAACTTCCTAGGAGGAGCTGAAGAAACTTAGATTTGCTTTCCCCAGCTCTCATGGATACACGCATTTCCCGTAACACCCAAAAGACAAACATTGCCTTTTTAAGTCTCAACATAAGGGAGAGCAGAGAACAATAACGTTTTAGGCTGTATTTTTCCCTGCTTTCGTGAATCTGTTGAATTTAGAACCCCAAATGGCATTAAAAAACAAAAAGAAAATGGAGAAATTGTTGAGTAATGTTTCCCTTTATATTCAGGAAGGTGAAGTCAGCTTTAAATCTTGAGCTGCATGTTTTTTTCTTGAGATGGCTATCCTATGGGAGGGAAAGAGATTGGATTACAGGTGGTTATAGCATGTTTTTGGGTATGTGTTACTACACATGTGAGGATGAAAGCATGTTAGCCTCATCTGCTCATTAGTCTCTAATGCACTGTTTCAGATAGCGTTCCTCAGCAAGTGTTGCAATCCATACAACTGATGTACAAAGTGGGAGAGGAAGTTCCTCTTTGGCTCTTTTTCCCCATTGTGCTCAGGCAGCCCAAGGGCCAACTGCACCCTGCAGTGCACCAGGCCCTGTGAGCGAGGCGAGGGGTTGTGCCACTCTGCTCTGTGCTCTGTGGCCTCACCTCCTGCACTGGATGCCATTGTAATCACACAAGATAAGGAGAGTGTCCAAAGGAGGGCTGCAAAGCTGGTGAAAAGTTTGGAGGGCAATGGGCGTTTCATTGTTTTTATGATTCCTTTTAAATTTCTATTTCCAGATCTCAGTAAAGCAGAATTCTGTATGTTCTTGTGAAAGTAAATGTCTTTGTCAGAAATAGCCTTAATATCGATACAGAGAAAAGAGGCAATTTAAGCATGTATGTACTGATAACAGTATGAAGCAACAGACTTAGTCACTGGGACAGGTAGGAGTCTGAAAAAAGTGGTACATAAAGATCAATTCATGCTTATTTCTTCTACTCTTACAGAGGAGTAATACTCCACATGAATTACTTTTTTACTTTGGGTAAAAAAATACACAGGATGTGGCAACAAATATTTCACATTAATGCTTTAACTCGGGTACTGAGACTGAACTTTATTTCTTACGTCCCTTCTACCATTGACATTCCTCTTTGTGTGACAGAGATATGACAATACTGAATTAAAATGTTTTACATGGTTATGGTCTTACAGTTACGCAGTATGATCTTACAGCATTTAATAAATTAAGAGGACAAAGTTTTGGAAGTTTAAATTCTTTTCTCTAATGCATGCTGCAGTGAGCATTCAGTCATTGGAATAGTTAAGATACAACCACTGAGAGCACTAGTTCTAGATAAAGGAATGGTAAAAGCAGTTTACTGTATAAAAAACAGAGGTTCAACTCATCTGAATAAAAATCCATTGAAAAAATGTTGCATATATATTCATTATTTCTTACTATATATCTTTCACCAGAAACACCATTCTTCAGATATACACAGTGCAGCATTTTAACACATAGCAACCAAAAGTATGATTCTATTACAATTCTAACAAAAATATACCTTATATACATTTTTTTCTGCACATACATTTTATCAATGTTTCATTTTGTTTTCCAAACCTGGTACAAAACATACAAAAAAGGTTGGCACATTACATAAGCTACCTGCAGTAAACAATCACGGTCACTTTTCTTCCACAGCTATCTAAGCTCCTTGTATTTCTTTCTTAGTTCAGTTGTAGATACAGTGTAAGGGTGTGGAAAAGAGTCTGCCTTGAGACCCTTCATTTCAACTCAAGTCACTGATTTGATGCTTTTGCCCGCAGTGCAAAGTGTTTAAAAATCAGCAGTTCTGCCATTTTTAATTGAATAATCTGAGAACAGTCTAAAATCTGAACTCATGTTCATGGTCTGCATGTGTTTAAAATGAGATGTACAAAAATACACGTTTGTGCTTAGGAAGCTTTAGCATAAATTTCATATTTAAAACCAATGAAAAACTATGTCTGCTTTCTGACTTATTTACAACTTTTGGAATGTTGTGGGGTTTTTTTGTTTTTTGTTTTTTTTTTTACATGACCAAACAAAGCAGCATTTTGTTAGGAAGGAAGAAGCAGTACAAACTGTAATGCTGTTATAAATTGTAACCTGGAAACTTTTAGAGGTGAAGGTTCATCTGATAAGTATGTAGCATAATATATGGCTTGTCATAAAGCTTAGATCAGTTTAATAAAATTGATGACCATGTACAACCATCACATTATAAAAAGAGATGTCAATCAACTGCCACAATGGTTTATATGTAAAACTTGACAAAGTATCACATGTTAACATCTAAGATGGCAAAGAAAAATGCGGATGGCACCAATTACACAGAACTTGCTTATTTTCCTCCGCTGTATAACCAATTTACAGGAATTTCACTTCTTATATAGAAAAGGAAGGGCAGGTTTATATTGTCTGTAATGAAAGTTTTGCTTTTAACGGTGCTGGGTTTGTTTTTAGTGTGCCCAGTTTCTTGAGGTTTACTTGTTCTACTGTGCATGCTCTCTCTACAGCTGTGGTTGAAAGAGCTAAAGAACATTGGCAGAATTGGAGCAGATTTATGCTAGGTAACTGAGAAGCGTTTATGGTTGTTTTTCAACTTACTATTTTCCTGGTGACTAGATTACCTGTTTCTGAGGAACAGCTGTGTGAAGTGTTAGCGGATACAGTTGCATTTGATTCAAGATTCGACAGATTTATATTTGTTACTAGAAATTAGTTTTGGAAGTACCTTATCTGCCATAAAATGATATTTCCAAAGTGCACTTGTTTATGGCCTTTTTGAAAATATTTTTGTGTGGAATTCAGAGAAGCTTAAAAATGGTAGATAAAATACTTTGTTCTTCACAAACAGTCTAGTTTCACTTGAAAGGAAACACTATCCCCGTTGTATCCAAGTTAGTAAGCAATTCACAGTGGAACTGGTAGATTGGGAGGTCTGTTTTTCTTGTTTTAGTGTCAGTTGTTGTTTTCTGATGGAAGCCTGAGACTCTTGCATTTTAACTCATCCAGCATTTTCCAGTGTTTGTAGTTATTGGCCAAGTGTTGCATCAAAACAGGCAGGTGTGCAAATGCTGAAACAGAGGAACAATTTTGCTACGTGTACAAAAAGTACAGCAGAACAGCCTAGCCTTGTCTAAAACCAGCATTCTCCTATCTCTTGTAATGCTAACAGGGAAAGATTTTTTTCAGTCTTTCTCCTTCAAGTGAATCCCTTTCTTAGTTTATAAGGAGTTTAGCCATTTATTCCTATCATGCAAATACTTTGATGTTGGTTTCTGCTTTTCAGGAAAAAAAGACCTAGATAGAAAAACTTATATTTAAGCTACTATTCCTTCTCTCTTTACATAATTGGTAAGTACTCAGCTTTTGTGAAATGGGAAGTTCACACTGCATGGTGACAGAAACCAAATTCAACATCAAGCTGTACTGCAGACTGAAGGTTGTATACTAAATACTGTGCTGCCCCTGTGGAAAAACAGACTAATGGCTAGTTTGAGATTATTCTTTTTAATCTGTACAAATTGCTGCCTCAGAGCCAGGAAAAAGATGGAGAACTACTTACCATCCCATGCATCGAACATGTCTGTTATAAAATAATCAATGAAGGAAATCTGAGACTTGGGAATGCTGCAGGTATTTCTATCAAATACTGGCATCACAACAGGGAGACCCTGTCTCTTCTCTTCATCTGTCTAAGAAAATGAAACACCAGTTAGCCTCTGCAGCTTTCCTGCCTTCCATGTTGGAAGAGCAAAGGCCAGTCCCAGGTCCCTGGGACTAAGTGAATTGCAGTGGGAGGCTTCAGACAAAAGTTTGAACCCCAAAGGTGAACTTCCTGTGCTTTACTTCCTCTGAAACAGGGACTAAAATTAACATCTCTTCCACCCGCAAGTACTGCTGCTGGGGTGCTGTGACTGTTCTTAGCTCAAGTAAGACAGAACACTGTAATTTCGTGATTGGGGCACACCAGTTAAAAATGGAAAATGGAGTTTCAGAGTCCCTTAGCAAAGAACAGATTTGAACTCTTCCACAGCTATGTCTGCTGTTCCAAAACATTTATCTTTTAAGTAAGAGGGATGTTGCTGCTGAACTTTGCTTCTCTCGTGTTAAACAGAAGTCAGAATATGCCTTTTAACTGCCCATAAATGTAAGAGGGCTGACTGTGTTGTTCTTAGTGTGGTGGTGGAGCCAACCAGCCCAATCACAATTGTAACACACAAGTGAAGTACTTTTGTCAAAACTGAATACTGGACTTGGCAGCAAAGCAGCCCCAAAATTACCAGATGAGGTGAATGAAAAGGAGAGCAGTTCTCAACACCTTATACTGCTGTAGGCTTGCTACTGCCCAAGATTGGCAATTTAAAACTAGCTTGCTTGCTAGTATGCTACCGTGGAGGCTGGACAGGTGCACCTCAAAGCAATCCTTTATCTTGCTCTGAAAACAATCAAATGTATTCAGGAGGATTAAAATAAAATTAACAGGTCCTATTCACTAATATTCTTTCCTCCCAGTAACAACTATTGTCTTTATGCTCTGAATTTGCATGGCAGGCATGCTAGGACTTCCATCTATCCTTCTGTCTCTCTATTCCAAGCTGTAGGTTTCCATGCCATTAGCAGCAAATAAAAGCTAAGAAAACACTTACTCAAAATACAAAACCTAAAGAGTGTTTCACTGCAAAGACACTTCTGTTTGTGTTAAAAAAATGAAGTATTAAGAAAGGAAACTGGGCTTCCAGTTTTGTTCTTAGGGATCCCATGCAATTTAAGCATTTTTATGCCCATGTGCCTGTATACTGGCCTGCCCCATCCTCTGCCTATGGTAATGATCCTTCAGGTACCATCTCAGAAGAGAAAGTGTCAGCATCAGATTCAGCTGAAGGGTTCGTCAGGCATGGAATTGCTCGTCATGCTCTGTTCAGGGCAGGTATTGACTGGGACCAGAAGCTAGAACAGCGACGATGATTGAATGTTAGACAAATAAATTTACTGAAGTTAATCAAGTAACTTGGTTTCTGTTAGATAGAGAAAGTATGATGTATAAAGCCTTTCTACCATTCTGTACCACAAGCTTCAGAAGAAACAAATGAACTAACTTTGGAGTGAATTCTTCTCATGAATGGGGAGAAAACAACTGTAGGGTCCATGGTGATGCCAGACAGATTCCACTGGAACAACAGTGCTAATAGCCGCCTTCTTACACAGGATAGTAATCCAGTGATAAAAATGTACATACCTGTGCAAAATATTCCTCTGAAATCCTCCCTGCCCATTCAATACATAGTTCTAGGGGACGACATGGATTTGCTACATCTGCACATTTAATCATCATACGCTTGATCAGTGTTTGGTTATCTGGAAAGTTCTTCATGTTGGCTGTACATTCACAGTCACTGCCTTCACTCTGTAACAGAGAGTTGATTATAAATACTGATGGCCAGCATCCCTGCTAGGAGTAAATGTATCATTATTAGCAGTGCTTATGTGGCAGGTAGGTACCCAGCCTGGTGCTTTCTCCCTCCATGCAGAGTACCAGGAAGTCAGAGGAGAAAGCAATGTCTGAGAACAGCAGCCTTGCAGAGTAGCTGACGGTAGCAGCACCACTGGTAGTAGTTTGGGAGGTTCGCAGAAATAATGTATTTTGTGAAATAAATAGAGGCTCTGTTAGTTAGGGTAGGTCGCCCTTGCCTTTTGGGAACTGGATCGGAGCAGGGAGTCATCCATCTACAGCAAGCTGACAAAACATTGTCACTGCTGTGTTTAGAGTTTGGGGGCTCTGATGAGGAGACTGCTTCATACAGGTGGATGTGTTCTGATTTAATTCACAAATTAAACTGAGGCAGGCACAGAGGAGTGATTTGATTTGCACAGTTTCTTTTAGAGGCAGAAAAGCAAGTGTATGCCACTCAGTTCCACTGTGTTTTTGATGACACTTGCCCCTTTTTGTGCTGGACTTTGTACCTTAGGCTTTGTCTTTGGTACCTGCTAAATTTGAACCTCACCTAATCTAGGAGATTAACAGTAGGAGAATGGAGTAGTGGCAGACTGAGGGCAGACAGTCTCTGCTTTTACAAGGCAGCCACATACTGAAGCGTCCACTGAAGTCTGTGGAGAATGAATGAAGGGAACTGAGCATTTGTGAAATGTCTGCTGTGACATCATCTTCTGGGTCCTGAATAGATTAGAAGGGCACAGGTATCTTATGTTCCTTACTGAGTAATAAAAAGCCTCTACGTCAGCTCGACATGGCATTAATGCTATACTCAAAATAATACATTTGTGTAATTATGGTCTCCCTTCACTGCTAAATTCAACTCTGAGTCAAAAATTGAACATAAATACTTTTTACCACCACTGCTAAGTTAATGTCTTCGTGGTTTATGGGCAGATACTTTGCAGTTGCCAATTCAGCATTAATCTTTTAACTTTATGTTTAGCAGTTAATTTTTTCAGCATGGGCAGCCCAGCAAAGAGCTGCTAGATTAGACCTGCTTGTACACTGCTGTTCAAGATTAAAAAGATTAAAAGAGCCACCATTAAAAATAAGGAACAGAACAACCTACACTAGGGAAAAAAACCAAATCTCTAAGATGTCTGGCTTTTGCTACACTTGTGTTGCTTCTAACTCAAGTATGTTTTTAAAAAGCCAGATAAGATAAAGGAGGCTGAATTAAAAAAAAGCAAAACAAAACAAAACAACATGTTTTCTAAAGGTAAGCTGTGGTGATTGGAATAGGAAATACAGCAAACAAGCTGTTTAGGAACTGTTAGAACAGATGCATTAATGTAACAGAAGTAAGATTCTCAGGACTGCATTTGGAGCTTGGAAACACCGTGGTTTCAATGGGACTTGTGAACCAATCCTACAGACAGGGATGCCAGAACGTAGACATTTCTTAAGGAAGGAGGTGGAGAAATACATCTGATCTGCCAAAGGGAGACATGCAGTGCTATCTGAGAGTGCCAATTCCCCTTTGCCAACTCAGAGAGCTTTTCAGAAATTGGAGTTTTTCAGAAGTTGGAGCAATTTGCTGTCTGGCACATGTTTTAAGCACAGGCAGAGAAATCTGAAAGTGGCTGATTCTGCTAAGTGAGGCATTATTGTCCTGCGTGCTTTTATGTAAGGTGGAATCGCTGCTGTCTTGGCTGGCCTATCCCTCTGCTTAGGTGGTGTGATGGCAGCACGATGCAGAACAGTGATGGAGACCTCTGTGGTGCTTAACCATTGTCCTGCGCCTGTGAGTTCTGGCAGCACAGATGCATCAGGCAAAGTCAGACACAGTGCCACATCCAGTGAGCCCTCCAGAGCTTGGAAGCGCTAGGGACTAACAGTACAAAGAGTACACAAAGCCAGTGAAATTCAGATGCATTTGTGATTTCCAGCTCAGTCTGCTGGGAGAATGGAACTCAGTGGTCCTTACAGGCAGGCCAGTTAAAGTCATTCTGAAGTCATAAACCTCACCAGCCCTGATTGGTTTCTGCATCCATGACAGTTTATGGAGGAAAAAGTTGAGTTATGGGGAAGTAATGGAAGCTATTTTAATTTTTAAATATAACTGAACTTTACCTTATTACTTATTCCCATTTCTAATTAAATGCTTCTTTCACCCGAGTGGTGATAAGATGATCTTTGTTTAAGTGAGTTACACTGCCAGGCGAACCATGTCAGACAATGTTCAACCTCAAGAGGCAACAAATGAAGGCAAAGAGGATCCTGAGCTAGTAAACACATAGATAACGCATGAAATAGGCCTGGGCTGGCTGTGGAGCATTAATGTGCATGAATTGACAAGAAAAATGGCCCAGATTGCTTTTGATGAAATCAGAAATGGGGCTGGGGTGGAGAGATGTCAGCAAGCAACAGTTGTTCTTCAGGGCTTGAAGACTCCTGATTGCATAGGAACAAAACTGCAGTTTCCTCAGTTAGAGCCCTAGGCTTAGAGAGGTCCCTCTGCTCAGAGGCAGGATTGTAGGCACAGGTGTTGTTTTTTTTTTTTTGCATTACAAAAGCATCTACTTCCATGTCCCGGGATCACAAAATAGCTTTGAGAGCAAGGCTTATAAAATAGAAGTAAGCTAAATGCAGTGTCCAGACATGCATAGAAAATTTAAGGACGTATTTTTTCATACACTGAAGTGTGAGATCACAATTCCAGTTGTGTCCTTCAGGCAAGTTCACTCAGTGTGAATGAAATGATACCTTATGTTGTGTTGGAGAAATTTCACTGAAAAGCCGAAAGGTGCAAAGTCATGCAGACACTTACATGTGAGGTGGTCTCCTCAGATGCCATTGGCTTGTTGATGCTGTTCACAAATTTGTTCACGTGTTCAAAGTGCTTTGTCATCTCTGTTGCCAGAACCATATCAATAATGGCCTGGCGCAATGTCCGATAGTGATTTCTAGGAAACAAAAGTAGTTCTTGCTCACAGTCCTGCCAGACAGAACCTTGTCCTTCCCTTGTCCCTTCCCAGACTGTTGAAAACACGGCTCACCCACATGAGCTGATGCTTTCATGGCTATGGAAGGTGCAGGGTTTGAAGGGCCTGCCAGCTGCACCATGCCACTGCAGTCCATCAAGGATTACCAAATACCCATGTGCTTCCAAATAATACAAAACATATGGTGCGACAAAATGCAGAGCACAGGGGGTGGAGGAATCAAAACCTATTTTATGTTTACTTGGGATTCTGAAAAGGTTAGTTATCAATGTCTCCATTCAAATTACATTTCCTGGTTCAAAAGTTAGGCTCTTATCTGCCCCAGACTGAAAACCCCAAACAACAAACCCATGCAGACATACTGCCCTACTCCAGCAGACCCACCTATCAATATTCTTGAAAATGTTGCATTTGCTGTCCTTAGCTGTCAGCTGAAATGCCAGTGCTGTGTGATGGCTCTCTAGCACAGCAGTATCATTGTAAAGGACAGCTAATTCACTGCCTGCGTTGCACAGGAAAGAGTTGGTCCGTCCAGGGTGATCTACATCATGAATGGTGGCTGCTATCAATGCAGCCACTTCATCTAAGTGGCCAAGGCTTCCCTACAGATGAGAGAGAGATCATGACATGGCACAAAAATTACGACAAAATAATTTATGATCATTTCTGTGTACTCACAAATATACAACCTTCAGCTCGAGCGCAGGGACGCACCTCCTTGCAGTCATTTCTCACTCACTGTGCACACTGGTTATCTTCTCCAAAGTCCTCTATCCTCGCCCAAACCCTACTTTATTAATTTACATTTTACTGTATTGTCACCTAACAACACCCTCTTGTGCACACTTCCACTTTGCACATCTCTCTGAATGGCTCTATACTAACAGTACTCCTACAGACCTTGTATGTTCTGCAAAGCTTTACAAAGAACCAACAGTCAGTTAATAATAGAGAGAAAAGATTTTTTTTTCCTTTACTGTCACTAGTTGTAAGTATAAATTCCTTCCTCCTATCAACAGACTTCAGAGAAACTGTGTGGGCCTGCAGGCATCACAGGAAAAGATTTCGAGGGCAGAGTAACTTTATGGATCCCGGACCATTATTTGAGTAAACAAATGACTTTGAATGATGCATATAAAATGGCAGTTCAGTGTGGCACCTGAGCAAGCATACCCAACTGCTAGCTCCTGGCAACAGTTTTACCTTAACTCTCTCCTTTCCCAGAAAGAAGGCAGTAGCATGCAGGACGTCCGCAGCGTGCGTGGAGTTGTGGTATGCATTGGAGGAGTGGTAGTTGGCTTCCATCACCTGCAGCCATGCTCGCAGTGTGGCTTCTGAGCAGTTCAAAAACTCAGGGACCCCAAACCGGCCAAAAACTTTTAAGCCTAAATATACTAGTGGCCTAGAAAACAACAACAGAAAATAGCACTGCTGTAATGTAAGTACTTCTAAAGAATGATGTTTCTGTCAAAGAAACCAAGGCCTTAACAATAAAAGGTGGGGGGAATATTAAGCACCTTTATTGCACACCTGAACCTCTATAAAGCCTAATCAATTAGGTTTCAAATGGTTACATCTTCTTTCAGATTTGATGTGTTTTGCAAAGTGGCACAGTTCCACTACAGATTCACCAATTCTTAAGATTTTAACTTGGGCTTCAAGAAGACTCAGATAAAAATGCTTAAAAGCTCTGTTCCTTTGTGTTTTGAGTATCTGTCAATCAATCAAAAATACATTTTCTTTTGAAGAGAAAAAAGCACAATTTCAACACAGCCACATCCCAAAGTCTAAAAAACAATAAGATAAAGTGCCAAAAACTTAGAGTTTCACATAATCTTACTACTCCATGGGTACAGATTCCTACTTCCTGAATGTATCAGGTCGGCAATATGCAAACTGTATTGATTACGTCTTACAATCATTACAATCAATTAATCAATCTCAGGCTCTTGATCCTATCACTGGCTTATCCTCTAGCCCAGTTTCTGTCCTTATAATCAAAAGCCACAGTTGTCTCACAGCTCACAAAATCATAGGGTGATTTAGTCAATGGAGGGGAGCAGCTTGCTTGCAGCCCGACCATCTGCGCAGTAGCAGGAATGAGGGCATCGGTGGGACATCTAGAACACAAGAACACTGGGCTGTGATGGTGTGACCTGAGAAAGCTGGGGGGAGACAAACAAGTAGGAGTTGAACAGGAGTTGAACCTGGGAGGGTCGGAGATGAAGTCAGGGAAGACAACAGCCTGCAAAAAGCTTCCTGTGGCCTGTGCATATATCCTAAAGCTGATGCATGCTTGGCTTGCAGATGTTGTAGGTGGTATGGACATGTACATGCATGCACACAGAAAATAGGAAGACAGCTCTCACAGACTTGCAATATCTTTCTTCAGTTTTCCTGAGTAGAGCAATTCATGCTACAGCACCTCAGTGACAGTTTCATGGACACCCAGAGAAAGGATTCAAGTACCTTTTATTTGTAACAGCTTCCAATTCAAAGATATTGAAGTCCCAGCTTTCCTCATTATCCAGGAGCTGTGCAATACAAGGTGGAACATCATTGATAGTATTTGGCACTGAAAGGTGACTATGGCTCAGGTTCATATCTGTTGAAATAGAATTTGGGAATTACAGCATTTATGGATTTTTTCTTCTTACATGCAGTATTCTATTTAGAAAACAATTCTTTTAAGAAAAATGACTCCTTCCCTCACAGTACAAAGTTTGTAAAAGCCCACTATATGTGGCTTTTGTCACTTCTGATTGTCTGGAAATAAATGAAATAGATCAACAAATGAAAATTTAGTTAAGTTTCTGGTCTGATTTTCCACATTTTAAATGCATTGTTTTAGCTATTTGAACCTGCTTCAGACCCAGAATGGAGGCAGTCCAACACTCGCTCTACAGTCACTTAGATGACCATTTCTGAAGACATACATCCCACTGCTAGCATGAATTTCTCTGTCATTAGCATTTAGAAATGAAATCACACATGCAAAGAGAAATTTAAAATGGTGGCTTACTCTTGGAAAACACATACTCATTTCCAGACAGTCTTCTCAAGCCATCCTAAAATAAACAATGTTATTAGAGGCAAGGTGGCAAAAATAATTTCCATGTCTCATTACCTGCTAAAACACTATACACACGCTCCCTCTTAGCTGCTGCACCTGGGCGCTGAACGTACTGCTCCTACTTGTAGCACTATAATAGAATTATAAGCGTAATTCTTGCTTTAAACTCTTTCAAAACAGACATGAAAGGATCCAAGGAACACTAGCACGAGACCTCCAGAAATGGTATTACCAACCATACAGTGTACTGCCCTTCTTGACCCCTCCATTCGCACTCTCAGCATTTCATCATTCACGTTAACCACCATCATTTATTTTCTGTTTCCTTCTCCTTACTTTGACAAGGATTAGCTCAGTGTTCATTACAGAATGGGGCAATCCGTGTTGAAATCCAGGCAGTCTGTCTTTGGCAGGCAGTTTTGCTACTGTTAGAGGACCAAAGTTATACCTTGATGAAAGTAAAAGCCACTATTCTCATCTAGTTGTCAGGTTGAGTAGCTGTAGAACAACCCCTCTAATTCCGTCTACGTTTCTAGAGTTTCTAAAAAGTATCTACTTGAGACAAAACAGATTAGATGATATAGTTTCTAGCGGAGACAGTGTTCACTCCTGTATGAGAATGAATGCACCCAACTGACTGAGACATAGCTGTGTCTTACCACATCCTGGTAAGTAAGCCAAAACGTTTAAGTGAATCAGCGATACATTACAATTCTGCTTCAGCTGCTTGTGGTAGCAGATCACTGAACTGTGATGCATGACACTGGTAACAGTGATTTCATCTTTACTAATTTTACTTACAGTCATCAGACCTCCAACAAGATCACTTGTGTGAGGATCCTCATCTTTGGTACCTAGCTGAGGGGAGTAAAGTTCTGCTGTCCGCAAGATTTCTAGAACTCTGTCCAAGGCTTCTGCTACAGTGATGGGGCTGTTTTCCTGGGCAGCATTAATTATGTTAATAACCTGAAAGCAGATTAGGGAGGTAGGCAAGGAAGAGTGAATACCAAATATTTTTCTTGCTATGTAAAATTACTAACTGAATTACACTACTTCCCATCTAGCAAATACTGTGTAGTTTCCCTCAGTCCTTTAAAACTCTGAAAATGTAACTGTGTGCTTTGAGTCCCTGGTACCCATCTGTTGTTTGTTACTAGCAGACTCCTGGGAAGTGAAAGCAGAAGGGTATGAAGAATAGTTGGAGGCAAGCAGACCAACATATAACCACATCACAGTTCTGCAGCACAGCCAGGCTGCTCAGAAGAAATCATTTAGTCCCAAGCAAAAGAAAAAACAAAAACACCTATGAATCAGATATCCTCACAATGGATGTAAAGCCTTCATTTTCTCAGTGTAGGTGAAAAAGGGCAGAGAGCAGCAACAGTTGAGCTGCGAACAAGGGAGAAGAAGATGGCTCTTTGTTGCCATTCACAGTATGTGTAAGCTGTGATACAGGAAAGTAGCAACGGTGCAGCAACCCTAAAGACTGCTCCTGGCAATGCCCGGACTCAGATAAAATCTCAGTCAGAACTGCTGCAGGGGCACAACAGGCTGTGCTTGTGGAGAAGGAGAGGAGTTAGCTGCTGGAATGGACAGGCAGGTGCTGGGAAGCAAAGAGCTGGAAGAGTAAAAACTGGATTTTACCAGTTTACCATGCCAGGAGATAGCAGGCGCACTGTTTGATGATATAAATTATCATGCAGCTGGTTTGAGATAGCAGACAGTGTAACATGGATGGTGAAGAAATGAGTGCAAGAAAGTAGGAGACAGAATGCAGTGCAGAGGATGCCTCTTCTGTATGCTGTATTACCAATGGCAAAAGCAAAGATGAGTCTGTGAAGTACGTTTTCTCCTATACAAGCACAGACAACAAAGCAGGTTTCTTTTCCTGCCACAGGCAGAGCACCTAGCATGGACAAACACCCTATTTACCTTTTCTATTTTTTTCTTCATAAGTAAGTCTTGGAATGAGAGGTGCAGAAGGGTTTAAGAAAAGAAAGTCTAACTTCAAATATTTTGTTAAATACAAGATGCAGTAAAGATCTGGCTGTACTGCCAAAAACTATGTATTTCCCTATAAGGGCAACTTCAAACTCTGAGCCCGCAGAAAAGGCAATGCTCAGGACTCACCTTTGTGATAGGAGCTTCTATTGTCATTGAGTGGATCCTTGCCATAGAAGAGTACCGCCGGGTCTGTAAACTTGGAGCTGGCATTAGAGAGAGCACTTTTTAGGCATAGCAGAGTATAAATTAATTATCTGACACCATTTATCCAGTGCCAAAGGCAGCCATTACGGAACAGCATGCCAGAATCCACTAGTTTCTCCTGAATCTCTTCTTCTGCACTTTTTTGCTTTGCTGTTCCTTTTTCTGCATTGCAGGCTGCCTCCCATGCAGCTGCCTCTCACTGCTGCTGTCAGTTTTTCTCCATCCATCCATCCATCCATCCATCCGTCCGTCCGTCCGTCCGTCCATCCATCCATCCATCCATTCATCCCACACTTCAGCTATACCGAAAGAAAGCTGTACTTACACACTTACACTACGCTGTACTTCATGCCCAGCAACTCCCACTCTGCCCTTGTTTGCCTATGGACTTGAGTCAGCCACAGCTTTTTCTGTGAGAGAATGCAGCCCCCTCATTTCAGTGTTGCAGCTGCTCCAATGAAACCCATTATTGCACTCTATAAGGTGTGCTTCTCTCACTACACACTGAAGAAGGAGAAAATCTCTGCCACCACCATTCCAGGCCTGCCAGGCAGCCATAGGTGGGATCAAGAGCAGCTCTGCTCTCAAGTAACCAGCAGAAATCAGTCCCTCCATGTCCTCCACCAATGAAGCCACCAATCCTCTCATTGAAGGCACCATGCACTGACATGCAACACAGTTACACTGATGCTCATGCTGGGGCTTTGCTTTGCAGTTCAGAATAAAGAATTTTTAAAGAAGTTGTAAGACACTGAAGAAATCTCTGATCAATCAATCACCCATGAACCTGCCTGGTTCCTCTTTCACTCTGTGTTTTTCTGCCTCTGTTCTTTATTTCTAACCTTATTCCTAACTGTTTTCTATTTTCTTACCATCACTACTTTGTGAAGTTATCGACTTAACATCAACTGAGTCTTTCCTTCTGTTCTTGCATTTGAAGGAATGGGATTCTGTAAATGCAAAATAAAACCATTTAAAATGTGTCAGTAGTAAATGCTTTTCCAAACTCTGAACACCATTTAAATAATCTTTACTGTACCATGTAAGTGGGGGAAATACTGTAATCTACAGCTCAGAACTGGGGAATGAGGGACCGAGATACAAACTTGGAGCACACCAAGCAACTTGCCTAAGGACGCCTGGAAAGATGCTGTGGAAGAAGGAGAAGACCATCAATGGAGCAGAGAGCTCACTTTGCCTAACTTCAGCTGCCTAAAAGCAGTCCTCCAGCCTGTCTTTGCCTGAGGTAGCTATCAAAGACCCTTCTGTAGTTACAGAGATAGGCAGTGGCATGCCCATGAACACTTCATTCTACTTCAGAGTGGACCCCTCCAGCAACCCTTCCTGTTGCTCTCCACTGACCATTGGACAACCCTGAGTTTAACTGCCCAGAAATTTTGACAAGCAAGAAAAATCCCATCTCAGCCAACACTCTCCTGGCCCCAGCACAAGGACTAATCTGCTCTCTCCATATTCAAACAGCTTTTGTTTTTAATTTCAGTAATTATTCGTAAGCTATTTAAGAAAAATGCAACATATTGAGAACAATTACAAACAATTAACCAGTTGCTGTGGAAATTAACTGTGCACCAAGCTGTCATTCTTGAAATTGCCACTTACTAAAACAAAAAAATAAATAGAAATCCTCGTATTCAGACAAATGGAAAAGCCAGATGAAACAAACTCAAACAAATGACTGAAAAATGCCTCAATTATATATAAAAGAGCACTCTGTAAAATGCAATTTTCCTCCAACACAATGCAGTCTGCCCTCTCCTTTACCCTCAAAAACAACAGCGCTGTATCTCTGCAAAAATCTTCATAGTGCCTATTCACAGAGTATCGGAGATCCACTCAAAGATCAGAGATGACAGAAAGCTTTCAAAGGGAGATAACCACTATGTGAAGAATCAGGACCAACCATCATCACCTTTGTCAAGACCGTATATATGCAGCTCCTCTGTAACAAAGCATTAGTATACAGTCCTGCTGAATTAAAAGTATGATGAAAAACCATGAATACAGTTCCTGCCTTAAGAATTTATCCTTGTCCACTCTGAAGAAACTGAAAGCATCTTTTCCCATTGATATCTAAGTGCTACATAATTAAAACATGTCATTTTATTAATTTATTAAAGCATGACATTTTATTAATTTATTTAGTGTGATCAAGTCTAAATCCCTTTTCTACCTTAACTTTTGCAGGATTTCAAAAGACACTAGAGTGAGAGCAAACATTTACACACAAACAGAGCTGCAAGTGGCAGTTGGAGGTAATAGAACCCTCCTTGTTTTAAACGTCAGCTAGCCAGCTGGAAACTTTGCTGCTGCCATCTGGAGAGAGAAACAGGCATAGAAGAGCTACTCTACAGTAGTTGAAAATATTTAAAAAAAAAAATAAATTACCCTTCACTAGGTGAGTGGAATCTTCCCATCCAGATTTGTAACAAAACACGAAGAATTGTAGAATCATAGAATGTCTTAGGTAGGAACGGACCTTAAGGACTATCCAGTCCCAACCCACCTGCCATGGGTAGGGAAGGGTCACCCCCAGTCTGGCCTTGAACTCCTCCAGGGACACAGGACCCCCATCTTCTATGGCCTGTGCCACTGCCTCACCACCCTCCAAGTAAATAGTTTCTCCCTAATACCTAAGGCACTTGAAGGTTTAAACCAGTTTGCACTGAAGGTAGAAACATAATCCACGCGTACTGAGTATTTTGTGAGGATGTGGCCTGACCAGCAGGGAGAGGGAGGTGGTGGTTTTCCTCTGCTCCACTTTTGTGAGGTCCCATCTGGAGTACAGCGTTCAGCACTGGGATCCCCAGCACAAGAAAGATGTGGGGCTGTCTTACCTGTGCTGTACCCAGACTAACAGTCCCTGTGACTTTTTGGCTACTTGCTTTAATTGTACCATAGCTATCAGTGTGACTTATATGATACCTCTTTCCGGTCTTGCTTGTCACAGTAACAAGAAAGTCTAAACACCTAAATCTTTCAAACAGATTAGTATGCTAATTACATTGTGTTAACTAGTGAGAAGTATTCTGCAACTTAATTCACAGGTGTTCTCATCTTCCTCTGTTTGCAGACTCCATTACTAGGAAAGGAGGAACAGTGAGAAAGAGAACCTGCATTTAATACAGCAACACAGCAGCAAACCGTTTAATACAACATGGATCCGTTCTAACGGCAACAACAATAATGAGGATATCAAATTGCATGCGTGGTCTCTTATCCCCTCTCACCCTCCCTTGCAGATTTTATTCTGCACCACAAAATTCTCCAATGCTTCCACATGTTCTTATGTTACTTGGAAAAGCAGTAAATGTCTTGAATTCACTTCCTAATCTCTCAGTGCATTATATCCTCCCAAGTGAAAATCAGAAGCTTCCTTATAATGCACAGCAGTGCTGCCCAGTGTTTGCTGTGGGAAGGGTCTTGGGGTTTAGAAAGCAACAAAGTGCAAGGACCTTTCTCTCAGAATAAGGCAGTAGGGCTGCATCTACCTCAGATCAACAGAAGACCATTGCAAACCTCAAATTGTCCTTTAGAGCCTCTTCTAGGAGACCAGGGATGTCTAGGTAAAAGTGTTATTTAAACAGCACTGGAAGGAGTGATTATCTTCTTATGTTCCTTTCTGAAGTCACCGTTAGTAACTTCTGCAAACAGCTCTTGGCTGAGATCTTGAATCTGTATGCAAGTAAACAGAGCTTCCTAAGACACAGAGCAAGGGCTGTGCAGATGTTCTGCAACACCACCACCGTGCTCAGGGCTGATAGGACATGACTAGCTTCAGCCTGCACACTGTAGACAGGGCAGATACTCTGGCACAAATAGGCACAGCTTCAATTTTATTTCAAGCAGCAGGAAGTGACAAGGTATGTCAGCTTTGAGATGAGATACAGTGTTTTAATGCAACAAACAGCAACACAACTTGCTTCTGAGCGCTCTGCACAGTAGACTGAATTATTATTGACTTTACAAACCCAATTATAGTGCAACATTTGAGCAGCTGGCCTTTTTTCTGTGAGCACAGGCTCCACAGAAGGAGGAGACAACACAGCAAAGACTGGCCACGACTTCAAGGACAGAAGTATATAAAGGTAAATGATAACATTCTAACCTGACTGAGAACTGTCTCCTGAATAATTCTCATCGCGTTGACTCTTGCAGAGCTGAAGACGCACCAAGAGTAAATTATGTATGTAAAAGAAAAAAAAACAAAACACACAGAGATTTAAAAAGAGCTACATTCAACACTATCCTTATCCAACAATCACTATTATTTTTATGTATATATATATACATATATAGGAAAAGACTCTCCTTCAGGTGTAATTACAAGTAGAGAAATAATATATAAAGCAAATAAATCACAGATACAACAGTGCTTTTACGTAGGAGCAATAAGTTCCTGTTTAATGCCCAGGTCTGTAAGAGATCTGAGGTTCCTTTTTAGGTAATATTTTAAGTACAAATTTCATATGAACATGAAAGATTCCAGAAATAAAATGCAAAAATAGAGAAAAAAAAAACAAAAAAACAAAAAAACAAAAACAAACTAAGATGTTATTCATTTCTTGTCTTCTGTACAGTGTTTTTAACATTATTTTCTTTGCACTGTTAAGCCAATTTTGTATACACTCTTTCATGGACTAGTGATAGAATGGATCATTTTCAAAAAAGACAGAAAAAGAACACTTGACATACTGAGGAGAAGATAGGTCTCATCCATCAGAAATTTATTTCTCAGTGATTTTTAATCACTCCCATGAATGAAAAATATAAAACAAACAAACAAACAAACAAAAAACCCAAAAACCCACAATATCTAATTTGTTTGTGTTTCTGAAACACCTGAAAATTTAACAGATATTTCAGTTTTTCTAGAACTTGAGTAGGACTTTTCCATCATCTTAATGGTTCCACCTACTGCTTGGTAGCACAATAAAAAATTAAAAGCTCTTCTGCTTTTTCATCCCTTTCAGAAACAAACACACAATCTATTCAACATATGACAACTTAATATCTGCTGTCCACTTCAGCCCATTCCCATCTACTCTAGACAAACAAGCCTTGAAACTCAACTCTGCTCAAGATGAACAGTCCTTCATGCTGCATTTGCACATCTTTCATTACACATCATACCAAAGAATCCAGTGCAGTTACCTCATCTGCTGTAGATGATCCTTTGATCAAATCCATTGCCTGCCTGCCTGCCTGCCTATAACAAAACACTAGATTGCAAACTGTTGGTTGCAACCAATAAGTAAAAAGTGAAGTACAGCAAGATAGCATTTATGCATTCTGTGTCCATGTCAGTGTGACAGAGCACGGTGTTGTGCAGCTGCAGGGATTACTCAGGAAAGAAAATAATTACATGAGACCTCTTTTTCATCACTCCTGAGCCCCTTCCATCTTGTTTTTCTTTTTCTTCTGGGGACAGGAGATAAAGAGAAGAAAATGAAGGACAAAAAGCAAAATTAAGGAGTGCTTTACTGTGTGGGGTAAGAATTAAAAAAGGAAGAGGAAATCCTGCAGTAATGTTCTACATAAATCTTGTTTGAGGGAATTTAAGAGGGCACTCTTCCCTCATAAAACTTGTTTTAAAAGCTTAAACATCTCTCCTACAATTATGCAGAAACTCTCACAGAAATTATCTCAACAGAACAAGATTGTGGAAGCTTGTCATACAGTACATTGATACAAGGCATCTGAACTGCTCATTCCAGTTCAAAACTGGAGTTCTTGGATATATCTCTTCCCGCTTCCCTCTACTGAAAGAAAACCATGGCACATTCCTCATTTATATGAAAAATAAACTGCATTTCAGTACTTCTGTAGTATTTCTCTTACCCTTTGCTGTAGGCATGATGTCAAAGAGCCATGTAAGTTAAAAAATGAGATCTGCCCTGACTAAGAAATGTTCTCCTACTTTCTCATCTATATCTCTCCTCTTGCAGTTTAAAACTGCTTTGCCCTGTCCTATCCCTATCTGTCCATGTAAAAAGTTCATTTTTCTTCTGTTTATAATTTCCCTTTAAAAACTGCAACTGATGTCATCTATTTGGACTTGTGCAAAGTGTTTGACACTGTCCCACATGACATTCTGGTCACCAAATTGGAGAAAAATGGATTTGATGGATGGATCACTCATTGAATAAGGAATTGGCTGGATGAGACTCAGAGAGCAGTGACCAACAGCTCAGTGTCCAAGTGGAGACCGGTGACTAGTGGCTTTCCTCAGGGATTGGTGTTGGGACTGATGTTACTTAACAGTTTTGTGGGTAACACGGACAGTGAGATCAAGTGTATCCTCAGCAAGTCTGCAGACGACAGCAAGCTGAGTAGCTGAGTGCAGTGGACACACTAGAGGGAAGGGATGACATCCAGAGGGACCTGGACAGCCTTGAGAGGTGGGCCCATGGCAACCTCATGAAGTTCAACAAGCCAGGTGCAAGGGCCTGCACTTGGATTGGGACAGTCCCAAACACAGACACAGGTTGGGTGGAAAATGGCTTGAGAGTAGCAGTGCTAAGAAGGATTTAGGAGTGTCAGTTGAGGAAAGATCCAACATGAGCCAGCAATGTGCGCTTGCAGACCAGAAGGCCACCATACCTTGGACTGCATCGAGTGTGACCACCAGGTCAAGGGAGATGATCCTGCCCCTCTACTCTGCTCTCGTGAGACTCCACATGGACTTCTGTGTCCAGTACTAAATCCCCCAACACAAAAAGGTTGTGGAGCTGTTGGAGGCAAGTCTGGAGAAGGGCTATGAAGATGGTCACAGGACTGAAGCACCTCTCCTATGAGGACAGGCTGAGAGAGCTGGGGCTCTTCAGCCTAGGGAAGAGAAGACTCCAAGGAGACCTTATAGTGGCCTTTCAGTGCCTGAAAGGGCCTACAAGAAAGCTGGGGAAGGACTTTTTATAAGGGCATGTAGTGACAGGAAAAGGGGAAATGGTTATAAAATGGAATAGTAGATTTAAACCAGACAGTAGGAAGAAATTCTTTACTGTGAGGGTGGTGAGACACTGGAACGGGCTGCACAAAAGAAGTTGTGGATGCCCCCTTTCTGGAAGCATTTAAGGTCAGGCTGGATGGGGTTTGAGCAACCTGGTCTAGAAGGAGGTGTCTCTGCCTATGGCACGGAGTTTGGAACTAGATGATTTTGAAAGTTCCTTCCAACCCAAATGATTTTATGATTGGAAGGCCACAATGACATCTATATGGAGCCTTCTCTTCCCCAAGCTAAAGAAGCCCAGCTTTCTCAATCTGTCTTTATAAAAGAAGTGTTCCAGCCCCTTTGATAATCTCTGTGGGTCTTGTCTGGACCCAGTCCAACAGCTCTGCATCCCTGCTGTACTGGGAGACACAGACCTGGATGCAGTGCTCCAGTCTGGTCTTCACAAGAGCAGAGTAGAGGGGGACAATCACCTCCCTCTCCCTGCTGGCCACTATTCTTTTGATGGAGCGCAGAACAGTGTTGGCCTTCCAAGCTGCAAGCACATGCTGCTGACTTGTGTCCAGTTTATTGTGCACCTGAATCCTTAAGTCCTTCTCACAGGGTTGTTACGAATGAGTTCTTCTCCCAGACTGTATTCATAGTAATTCATGAATGTTAGTAAGCTTCCATGCATTATCATAGAATTATATAATAGAATCATAGAAAATGATGTTGTGGGTGTGTGCCTGGGTTGAAAAGGACTCAAAGATCATCTAGTTTCAAAGCCCTTGCCATAGGCAGGGTCACCACCAAACCAGGCTGCCCAGAGGCACATCCAGTCTGGACTTGAATGACTCCAGAGATGGAGCATCCACAACCTCCTTGGGCAACTTGTTCCAATGAGTCACACTGTCTGAGAGAAAAACTTCCTCCTAAAGGAAGTTATCTAGAAGTTGAGTTTAAGTCATACATAATTATGGTGAAACACTGTAGCATTAGTGATTTGGATCAAAACTTGAATCACGACAGATACTATCCTGTAATTAAATATGTACTTCATTAGATTTCCTTGCATGCTTCCATAACAAACCTTTTTTGTTCTGAAAATAACCCTGATATATTTTATGGCAGAATAAATTTTTATTTATCTAAATATTCAGAAGTGGATGTCAGCATTTGTCAAGTACATAACTTCTTTATATTCGTAATTTTCTGCAGAAAGTGTTCTGAGAGAATAACTAAAATCCTTAACAAAAGCTGAATACGAACTGAACCAGAGGAAAAAAAACAATGGAGGAAACCAATAGTGCTATTCTATTTGTCACAGAAAAAGTCTTTCCAGAGTTGTTTTTCAAAACAAGAAATAGTGAAATGTTGAGAAATGAGTTTCTCTTTTGCTTCACAGAAGACAACAGCAGGGTACTTGCAGCAAGCATTGGGGTCCCACACCCCCTGGCAGGCACCCACTGCCTTGAGCTGCCCAGAGCTATTGCCTTGTACTAGCCTCCCAAAAGCAGCTGGCCCGTGAGCATGGCCTGAGCAAGGTGACAGAGCTACCACATACATTGACAGTGCCGTGGTGTGGGCTCCTTAGTCAGGAACTAGGTGAATGTCCAACATAAAGCACGAATCTCATCAGACCCACACATTGACCAGTGCTGGGGGAAAAAAAAAGATAAAATTTGGGCCACTCTCATTGTTTATCTCACAGGGTACCAATCTCTCAAGGAAATCCTCAAACAATGGCAGCCTCAAAACTTCATGAATTGCACTGACTCCACCATCTGGATAGGACAAGACATCTCAGCAAGAGGCAGTAGCTTAGAAGGACTATATATTCTGGATGTTCTTGGCAGGCTGAAGCCTCCTGGCCAACAGAAGCTGCAGCTGCAATGCTGGTGTTTCCAACACATAGCTGGCACCTCACAAGAGGAGGTCAAGGCAAGCATGGGCTATTTGAGCCCCATGGCTTGGAAAAATTAAGAAGCACCCTGTTGTACCTGAAGCAATTTCTAGTGCCTGAGGGCACATAATCAACTCACCCAGCTGCTGCAATATCAAGGAAGAGGTATGCTCTTTTTACAGGAACATACTGACACACAACAGATGAAAGCAAGGGACTGCCTTGCAGTAGAACCCAAGGATGAACTCAGACCATCTAAAGAAATAGATGAGATTACTTGCTCTGAAACCAAAGAATAGGAGTGCTTGTAATGGGCTTGCCTACACTGGAACTTCACTTTATACAATTCTTTGCTGAAGTCTCATTTGACTCAATGGCAGCACATCTTCAGTGCAATGGGGAGAACAGAGAAAGTGGCTGTATCTCAGTGCAAGCTCTGTCTGTCTGTCTGGTCTTCTTACCCAAATTCTCCCCAATTGCAGACAGAATGCCAGTAACTGTTGAATTCCTCAATATTTGAAAACATTTCTTTCAGAAATGCAGAAAGCCTACACAGGTAGACACATGCCCTCGTTTCCCTGAAATTGTTTCCAAGAGGATGGTGTACAGCATTTGAAAATACTGCAGTGTACAGAAACATAGGGAGTATCACAAGGCTAAGTGAATCAAATCCAACAAGTAATTTTTATTCCTCAGGGGCCGTTTTATTAACACTTTATGTGTATTAAATAATTGATAAACTTATTTTTAATTTTCATCACGTTTTCGTGGTTTTTCAGTCTGCGCCACCAACTGCTGCACAAAAAGAAGCCTTCCTGCAAAAGTCAGTAGTGCTTTTTCTTCCGTTGAACTTCTCTTTACCACCAGAGGGTGCAAAACTGCAGTGCTCAAATGCTGATCACAAAAAAATCTGAGCAGCATCGCTGCAAAAGTAATTCTAGGAAGTCTTATGAATACAGTACAGGTGTTGTTACACATAACCACCATCCCCAATCTAAACCATAACAAGACCTCAAGATGCTGTTAAGAGTATTCTATTTGATGCCAGAGCATCTGATACTGTAGTAGAGGGAGGAGAGATTTCTACCACAGAACAGAAACACAAACACAAACACACATACGAAAAAAAAAAAAAAACAACCAAACAACAACAGCAAAAAAAACCCCACCCAGTTTTGTGGGCTGTACCTTTTTTTTTTCCATATAGACCTTCAATCTCTACAGAATATATTTTCTGTCAGGCTGTAATCTTTAATCGCTGTAGTAGATTTCTACATCTGTTCAGAATGTTTCAGAGGTCATACAACCTTGTCTAAGACTGCCCAGGCATAAAGATCATTGCATTTGTGCTTTATTTACTGATAACTGCTCATGATTCAGTACTGAAAAACACAAACTGATTGTGCTTTCCAACAGTGCCAGTACTATAGAGAGCACGGCCTTTGACACATATTTCTAAATAACATTTATTGTTAAGTTTACTTGCTTAATCCAAAGAACCAGAAAACTTCCACTGCTGGCTTTTGGTATTTTTTTGTTTTTTTTTTAACAGATGACTGCAAGTCTGTAATTGTTTTGTACTGATCATCTTACATAAACAGTATTACATTTACACTGCAGCAGCCTTTCAGCTGTGTGTACACTGTAGAAAAATACATCAAATGGTACCTTGCTTTTAAATCAACATCAAAGCAGCTGTAAATGAAACAACATGAACAATGAGGTTTTACTAATGAATAAAAAAAGAAATACTGTATAACGTTAGTAGTTCTTCCATTACAAAAGTCTCCAGCACTCTAGGCTGTACTTTTAAAATCCTGCTTCTGTAGATTATACCTTGCTGCTAATACTAAAATCTGTTTTTTTGATCCAAATAGGAGGTCAGTTTATAACATTCCAAGCTTTGTTTTTAAGGGGCAGAGGTTCAAATTTCTTCCAAAAGCTATGCATATTTCTTCGTTGACTTGATAATATCTCTGCAACAGGCATGGTTTCAAAAAACAGACAATTTTACAGAATATTACCTATTAACTTCCAATACTTTTTTTTCAGTAATCTATTACTAAGGATAGGCTTATTATACTGAAGAATAGGCAACTAGAAATCCTAGTGACCTTCCATGCATATTTATGTACACATTGTCTTTATTCTCAGCTATGTAAAAGCATATTTAAAAATTTATACAAAACAATATACTCAGTTCCCAAAACCCAAATTTTTTAGAAAAAAATGGAAATTATAGGAAATATATCATACTCCATAAGCACATCCTCAGTTTAAACTTTAGCAGCTACACCTTATGTTCCCTACATTCAATCTCACTCCCACAGACCACAGATAGATTTCACTCTTTGACTCAGAGAAGTCCAAAATTTCTTATTCCACTGGTTTTTGAAGCAAAACATACAACATGCTCAGTGGCTTCAAATGCTCTTTCAGATAGTGTGCAGGAGCAGATCAACTTCTGCTCCTCAAACAACTTCTCATGCCTCCACAGTTTTTACAGGATGTGGTGGATATGTGGCTGAACATATGTGAAAACATATGGGCAAGGAACCTCCAGTCGTCAGTGCTTGCCCACTGCACCCTGTCCTGGCACTGGGCATCACTGAAAAGGGCCTGGCTCCATCCACTTCGCAACCTCCCTTTCTGATATTTATAGACATTGATGAGATTCCCTGGAGCCTCCTCCTCTCTGGGTTGTACATCAACTTCTTAAGCAAAAAATATAATTACTAAAAGAGATGGAAATTATGACATCGTAGAAACACAGTACCTGCTTGTTGTTTTCGTTAGTACAACGCAGCCTTTTGAGGGACACCAAGTGTCTGATCTTCCTAGCAACAGAAATAATTTATTGTTATCACATCAGATGGTAAAGAGGGAAATGAAATGACATAGTGATATTTTTTTAAGCTGAATTCTTGATGCTCTAATGGAACAAGAACTAAAACCAACACCAAACAACTGACTGAGCAACAAGCAGTGAAACAGTCGTGTTTTTGTTCTAAAGTACATGACTATGCTGATGCTGAAAGAGTTCACTCACACATCTGGGAGCAGAATTTGGCAACATGCGCATCATACATGGCAAAAGTGCAAGCACATGCAAGTGTGCACACAAAATGAATCACCTGGCTGCTGACTCTTCCAATTGCCTGGTTGGCAGTTTGAATACTTTAGAGTAACTTCACAGAGAAAAGCATGGTAAAATAAACCCAAACACCAATTTGCAGCTGTCTGTATAATAGCAACTTCATCCTTTCTTATGATTTCACAATTTTTTAGCCAGCAAGTGAAGACACCAAAATGGACAAATCAGTAAAAATCATGGCCTTCTTAATTTTGCACATTTTCCTTGAACTGCTTGAAGTCAGCAGTGTTATCACCACCCTGCTCCTTACTATATGGAGGTTCATGACAGGGAAAGGGACAGGGAAAGCACAGAGAAGGATTTTAAAAAAAAAAAGGAACATTGCTCTGGAGATGTTAATTACCCTCCTTGACCAATCACTGGTGTTATCTTCACATGTTGCTGGATACTGTCTCCAGATTTTCTTCTTGCATAGTAAACCCCTTGCCACTCCTAAGAAAACATGCACAACAGAAAGCATCTGATAATACATAGTTTGCAGTCGAATATTCATTTATTATTGCCTAGTCCTTATGTAGCAAATAATTACATACTATTTCATGTTTACATTCTAAAAAAGCGTAAAATCTTGTAATCCTCAGTGCAGCTAAGCAGATGTATTTGCTTGTCTGAGGACAGTGTAAACTTTTTGATATGTTTCTCTTGTGAAGAAGTGCCCAGTATTTTCAAAAAAGTTTAGGAATCAGAGGAACAGAATTCAAATGAGATATATGCAACTTGAGAGAACAGAGTCTCATGTTTTTAAACCCAGAGTTTAAAAAATAAAACAGACTGGAAATCCAAATTAGAATTGCCCAAGCTGATTTTAGCTACTTACCTTTCCTTTTTTAATACATGCGTTGATAGCATCTGACAGATCTGCACAGTTTTTATCACTTTTGGGCAGCTCAGTAAGTTCCTTGCCAATGAGCTCTCCCTTCTGATACCCCATCATATGCTCGAAGGCCGGATTAACATACTGTGAAACAAAAGAACTTCGGGATAAGAAGGACATACTTAGAAGATAATTACTCAAATAAAACTATCACAGTATTTCAGGGTACGCACCTAAATCCAAAACCACACATCCCTGCAGTCTGTCACATAAAATATTATGCCAATAGTGAAACACTTCACTTACATTTGCTAGATACATATTTATTTATTTATTTATTTATTTTACATATGGAGTTGAAACAGAATCTGATATAGAAAACATGGAAAGAGAACAAGCCCCTTTACTGTACAGGGTATCTATTTCTGCAATAGATTTCACGTTTGTTTCACTATAAACAACTGGAAATTATCATCTGAGTAAAATTAGAGAAGGAAATGTCTAGACATTCAGCAAGTGTCAACAGGCAGCATCCAGAAATGCTGCAGAAATACAGCAACAAAAGCAAAACACCGAATTAGAAGAGACTTTACAGAACAAAGATCTCTTTGGGGTTTCTGTCTTTGAATTCTGCAAAATGATTGGTCTTTTCCCCATACCTGAATAACACGATCTTCACTGGTTATTTCTATTGCTTCCTGACAATGTTCTAATGCTGTAAATACTGCATTACATGCCCTGAAATTAGCAAATGATTCACATTAGTTTTATTGTTAGAACATTTTGCTTATCGTAAACAGATTATTGCACTGTACTTATCCACAGATTAATCACAAATTAGCATGCTGTTTCAACCATACCGGGTAGCCATCACCATTATGATTTTCTGAGGAATTTAATCTTTGGACACTCCCGTTGCTGACATATTTTTCTGAGATCACTTACAAAATTGCTCACAGGCACCGCATCACTTAACAGCACGGTGCCTTTTCCAAACACCCTTTCTAGAGCAGGAACTAAAAATGAGTAAAAATAACAAATGGCTGCATACATTGCAATAGAAAGTTTTGTGAACGTCAAGGATAGGGAACACAAAAATCAGCACAGTACATTTTATGAATCTATGTATATAAAATATATCCTAATATATACCCCAATAAAATATGTCCTGACAAACACACTGATAAAATGTGCTGTGCTTATTTTACATGTGTATATACACATAAGTATAAATGTAAATTTTTCAGACCTTGATTATCAAAGAAGTTGTAATGCTAAGCAATTAGAGGAAATGATTTAAGCCATCACAAAATCTTAGTCAGAAAAATATCACTTTTCCTGCTTTCAATTTATAATTCAGTGGGTTGACTTTCATACGGGTTAGTCTTAATTAAGGGCAAAACTAATCCCCACCTTCCAGTTTTTCAGGGCTATCCTTGAACTAATGCAGGAAAACAAAATCTTTACCCTTTTGCTACAGGACTGATACTGCTTAAACTATAATTTACACAGAATGGGATTGAAATAATGTTATTTAATTCTAATTAATTATGTTAATTAAAACAATGTATTAATTAACACAGTAAACTATGGAGATTTAATGCATACTAAAAGACACAAATCAGACGACGTGCTGTGATAGATCCCAGTCCATTTTCTGGCCTAAATTCAGACCAATTGTCTGCTATGTATGTCTCACTGCAGGGAGCATAAAATGCACCATGCAGATGTATACAGCTGTAACCTAATGGAAATGTCTTGCTTACAAACTGTACAGTGAGGTGTGATTAATACTGATGATCAGTGCATGGTTAGCACAGAAGTATTCTACCTCTGCATTAAGGAATATTGGATGTTGGTAGCTTTGCTCATCATGGAAGTAACTCGGAAACAAACTGGAAAGGGAATACACACGAAGACATACATACACAATGATGTGGATGAAGATTTGTAGGAAGAAGCGTTGTATGCAGAAGACAACTGTACTCCTTCAGTTTATGCAATAAAATGAACTATCAGTGTAATTCTACGAGGGACAACCTAGCAGTTCAAGTTTGCTCCATGGTGTGATTTTGTGCTGCGCAAAATAACTGAGTTATCTCAGTGGTAGATGCTCATCTGCTACACAAGCACTAACAAGTCATTAAGTAAGCTTTCTGCAAGAAAACGCAGAGCTGTTTTGAACTGATTACACTATTCAAAACCTACTTTTTCATTTGATCTGGCAATCAAGCTAGCTTTGGTAGATGCACACATCCCACAGATGCCCAAAAAAACCTTTAGAATTAAAGAAACAAAAAATCTGTCTAAGAAACAGTGTACCCATCCGGACAGTTCTGTTCACTGAAAGGACTTCAGATACTGCGTCCCTGGTCCAAAATTCTCACAGACTTTCTCTTCTATTCAAACACCTAAAAAAAATTCTGGATTTTGTCCCATTGATTTACTTTCTGAGAACATTATGTCTTTCTTTTCAAAAATACAAAGACATATCAAAGACCAGGAGCCCCGTGAGATAAATACACAGTGCAACATTTTTTTCCCCCATTTCATTAAACCACAGAGATGAAAGCAAATTGCAACCAAGTAGGGCTAGCGAATCTAGTTGTGCTTATTTTTTTATGGTAAGCTCAATTAAAACATCTGCCTCTTTGGGCAAAAGCAGGAAGAAATTCTCTGTCACAAGGCATCAGCTTCTCTAAGCTACAAGTATGCCTTCTCAGAAAATTTGTCCTTCAGAAAGCTGTTTTGATCCCCCAGATGTTAGCACAAAGCTTCTTGCATTAAAAGAAAAGTAGAATTTAACTCCTCTGGGTCTGCCTCAGGCAGTGGCAGCAACAAACTCCAAAATACCACAGCTGTGCTGCCAAAAGCTTTCTGAAACAGTAGTGCACCAGAGATGATGTAAATATACAGACATACACATGTGCAGATATATACATGATGTGTTACTAACATACAAAACACACGGTAACACAGAAAACATCTAATATGCTATACATTCACATAAATTAAAGGGAAGGAAGTTCACAGTTTACATAACTAAAGATAGAAGAGTAAAAACAAGCCAAATTACAAGTGGGTGGTACAACACTGTTTACATAAACAATACAGAAGAGAGAATTGTCAGTAGCTGAAAAGCTTCTGAGGAGTGACACTCTCTTCCAAATTTCAATTTTTTTTTTATTGATGATAGTTTTAAATAATCTTACAGAAAAATATGGCAATCAATATGTGAATCATGTTCCCTGTTTCTGAGTTATAATTATCTGCATTCATAGTTGATATAACTAAAAGAGATGCTTAAACTCTACTGGCACCGAATTCTTAAAGTAGGTTATTCCATGTGTTACAGCAGGTAATTTTCAATGAAAAGAACATAAAGTTTATAACAGAAAGAAATAAGGGAAAACAAAACATAACACAAGAAGTCATTGACACATACACTGATGTTCTAGAGAAACAGAAGGATAATTTCCACTCTTCTATGTTTTGATAAACACTAAGAAAGAGATGGAAATGACAGAAAGTTACTATACAGAGAGTAACAAGCAATGAATGTCCTCAGCTAAGAAATTAAGGAGGTTACTGCACATGTTTTTATGGTTTCTGGTAAGAATCTTACTTGAGACATTATCAGGCAACAAAGTGGAATGCTGCCTGAACTGTGAGAAGAGTAATCCTCAAGATGATATACAACAGCTGGAAGAAGTTTCCTTTTTGTCTACAGCATGCTTGTTATTACAAAATCTGTCGTTTTGGACCTAAACACAAGCTACAGGTATAGCTTGTATGAACATAAACTGATGTTTGCTAACTAAATTCACAAGTCACACATTTCACACTGCATTTACAACTGAACCAAGTCACATTCAGGTCTAATTAACTTCTAAAATTTCTGTGCTTTTTTCTTTTCTTTATTTTTTTCTGCTGAGCTTTGGGAAATACACCTTAATATGTGACAGCAAATTGTGACAGCATGAACCCTATTTTTTTTCCTAAAGATTCTACTACAATCATATTTTGCATACATAAACACATATTTGCTTGAACATTAAATTCTTTTGTGATAGGTTTGTGAATGGAATCTTAAAAAAATCTACTGCTTAAACAGCAACACTGAATCCAGTAGTGAAGTGATAGTATATTCTGTAGAAGGAAATGCAACTCAATTATGGGAATCCAGGTAAATATACTTTCTCTGTGTGACAACTCAAAGATCTTTTTTTTATATACAGTTGAATTGTAAATATATTTATATGTAGGTGTAAGCACCAGAAGCACCAGTATTAAATATACAATCAATCATATTAAACTGATTATATAATTATATATTCCTTCTTATATTTGGAAGATAATTTTACAAATAAATATTTCTTATTAAGAAAAAAATTGTGATTTTGATCTGGCACAGAGTAGGAAGAGCCAGCCCAAGACTGTGCTCAGTTCAAGACATGAAATCTCACACACATAAGATTAAGAATGACTTTGAGAAATTTTCCTGTCATGTCACTTTGCAGGCCATAAACCTTTCTTACACACAAGTCAGCATTAAAGTGCTACCATTCAATTAAACGAACAGAAGCTGTTCTGCAATATTTCTGCTAAGGGATCTCATTCTGATTGCAATAGCAGTGATGGCTGCTGTACTATTGCCAAACTCAATGTGGGCATCTCAAGACATATGGGCACAGGCAAGCATCAGAATAAAGGACAAGTACTGCATTCTGCATTAATGAAAACTGTCATTTAAACCAGCAGTGAATGAAGCACATCAACAAAGCTTTCTAAAGGCACTACTTATTAAAGCCTTTACATTTGTCTGTTTTGTAACTGATCAAGGAACAAGGCTGTAGGAAATTGTTAGCATATGAAATACATATATCTGCAGTTGGGAACATAGACCAGTTACTTATTTCCAAATATTTATTTCTTATGCCTTCTTATATGTCTACATACCGTAATTTGAACTGAGATCGCACTTCCCCATGTTCTATTTGAATGAGTTCATTGTAACAAGCAGTTATGCTGCTATTCTCCATGAATCGCTGGAAAACAAATCAGAAGTGCATGAAATAGAATGGAAGGTTTGTAATCTATTATTCCTGCTCTTGTATCTAAAACTCTAATGTTATAAAGAGAGCTGGCAATAGGACGACAAAGGGCCACAAAAATGGGGCCGGAATATCTTTCATATGAGGAATGTCTGGAGGAGCTGAGACTGGTCAGTACAGAGAAGAGAAAGCACAGGAGAGATCTCATTAAGATAAAATAAGTACCTCAAGAAAGTGCAAAAAGAACAGAGTCAGGCTCTCTTCAATGGTGCCAGTGTCAGGATGAGAGGCAATGGGCACAAAATGGAGTACTAGAGGTTCCTCCTAACACCAACTTGCCAGTGTCAGGATGATAGCTGGACTTGATGATCATAAGGATCTTTTCCAACCTAAGTGATTTTATGATTCTTGCTGTGTGGGTGGCTGAGCACTGGCACAAGTTGCCCAAAAAGGCTGTGAATCTCCTCCTTGGAGATGTGCAAAAGCCACTTGGACATGGGTAACCCACTCTGTGTGTCCTGCTTGAGCAGGGGTTGGGCCAGATGGACCCAAAAGTCCCTGCCAACCTCAGCTATTCTGGGGTTCTGTAGAAATGCTTTCATTGCGCCTCTTGTGTTAAGCAATCATCTATTCAATGGGAATGATTCTCTAGTCACTGTGACAATATTGCTAGCTAAATAAAAAGCGAGCATAAAAATCTGCTGAAACCACAACTGTGAGCTTTGCCACTTGGTTCTAGGTATTCATTAAGAAACAGGTCATTTAAAAAAACACAAACAAAAGTCTCAAAATCAGTAGCATCTAGATGTTTCATTAGGAACACCTATGCCTTAATTCAGAACAGGAACGGAATACCTTAAAGATATAAAATATCCATGCTAAAAATTCAAATAAATTTAATGACATTTGGCATTTTGTCTGTTTTTAAGTAAGTATTGTAGCTGAAACTCACAAACTGTAGTAACTTGAATTTGTAAGTAACGTCAGTGAGCTGTCACTTTTGAATTCAGAAGTGCAGAAAAGTAAAATTTGACAGCTGTTAACAAGACCTTTTTTAATATGTGTTAGATGGAATGTCCTCTATTTGTTATGCAGAAGCTGTTAGCAGAGAGGTATTGTGCTTGGACCAGCTGCAGTGAGAAAATTCACATTCATCACAAAAGTATTAGCATGTTCTCTGACTTCAGTTCAAGTTTATTGCTCACTAGTAAACTTCTGCTGTGAGGATTTACATCAGTGATTTGTAAATACATCTGTGGATTCTGCTTTTCACACAAAATGCTCATTGACATCATTAATTTTCAGAATACAGCTGCATGCTGAGTCAAGAGCCAGCACTCAGATCTGTGAAGAACAAAGAGTGTTGTATGAGGAATCTTTGCTTCTCCCCTTTATGAAAAAAAATGTGATTTGGGAACCAACAGCTTAAGCCCAAATTTAAAAGTAACTAACCATGGGCCTACTTCACTCCTCATGTTAAGATATTAAATATTTCTATAACTGTCACTTTTCACAGCAGGAAAAAGACATTAAGATTGATGTATTTGTAGGTGTATTCCCCCAAAAATATTAAAGGAGCTCTTGGGAATCTTCAGCTCTGAATCTGATGTAAAAATTGAGGTTTTGTCTATAAAATTCTAGAAAAAAGTGACAGACTAATTGGCTACAGCATCAGATACTTTATTAATCATTTTGGAGTTGCACTTAAAAGACAGGTACCATCAAACAGAACAATTACAATTAAGTTTTGTCAAGGGAAGGAGGAAGAATGGAACTAGTACGACAAATGCTGATACACTGAATAGTGATAATGCAAAATAAACTACTGGAAAAGGTGAGTATAAAAATAAAGTTAAGGAAGATAAAGCTGTAATTTGAGCAGATGGGATTTTTCAAAAATCAATTTTATTACATTGTTGAGGAAAAGATCCCTGGATGTGCTGTCCCTCTCCTTGGAGAAGGTGTTTATTTGGGGTTTTTGTGTCTTTTTGTTTTGCATACATATTTTAAATATATATATGTATATATATACATATATTTGCAAGAGAGTCAAGATCTATTACCTCTTTCTGGTGATGTTCCACAGTGGTGACTCAGGTGCATATACTTTTTGCAATGAAACTCAGGTTTAGCACGAATTAGCTCAGATACTGGATTCAGTCTGAACCAATAGGATAGTGTTCTGACTGGGATAATTCTTCTAAACACATATATTTAATCCCCCTTAACTACAGAGTCTACTGATGAGCTCCTACTGATTAACTTTCTTATGACGAGCTCGCTTTAATATTACAGATGCTTTATGTTACATTAGGAAACATTAATGACCACCCAAAGCCACTCAAACAAAGGCTAGAAGATGGTAAGCAAATGAAGCTAGACTTTCAGAACTGAAAATCACTGCTCTTCACTACAAATTCATTTTAAGAAACAGCAGTAAACAGTTATTTTCTCCTCTGGTTTCTTGTACAGAACAGCTTATAATGTTCTGAATAGAAAGGGTTCACGCCGAGGTAACAACTCAATTCAAACCTCACTGAAACAGAACAAAACAAAACAAAAACATTATCCTTTTTCAATTCAGCAGGAGCAGGACTAGGCTGGTACTCCATTCAGAAAAGGTTCCTAGCATGCACACAAACATGTCTAGATGACTAGGCACACATTAATTAGGGTGCCATGTCTTTGATTTTTAAACGTACTCATAAACAAAATCCACTCACCATCTGTCCAGACCACATGGATTTAACCACAGAATTATTAAGGTTGGAAAAGGTCTCTAAGATCATTCAGTACAACATCCACCTACCATCAATCCTGTTCACTAAACCATATTCCTTAGTACTGTATCTACCCTTTCTTTAAAGACCACCAGGGACAGCGATTCCAGCACCCCCCTGTGCAGCCTGTTCCAGTACTTTGCTACTATTTCTGAAAAGAAATTTTTCCTGATATTCAACCTGAAACTCCGCCGGTGCAAATTGAGGCCTATTTGTCCTATTGCAGTTACCTGAGAGAAGAGCCATACCCCTGCTTTTTCTGGAAGGACTACCTGGATCACAGATTCTCTTATCTCATATGCTTTTCCAATGCATTTCTGAAAACAAGAGTACCCAATCAACTGTGACCATTATCTCATAAATACATTTTTGACATAAGCAAACATGAAGAACTTATATGAAAGATTTAAATGTGAGGAAGTTGAAGTGCCTCTAATTTACAAAGCAACCACGGTTACTTTATTAAATACATAATATATGAAAGAAGACATACCCTATCAAAGCCTGCATTAAGAAGGGGAAGAACAGAAGTCTCTTCTTGATCAGCAGATCTACAAGACAAAATGCTGGTCACACAACATGCAGGAACTAGATGGCATCAATTCAGCAGTTATCCAAATATAATGTAGTATGAATGCTCTTGCATAAAATACACATATCAAATCATGATATTACAGAAGTGGATCTTCTGAATGTCAAAGATGATACAGTCTTTTATATATACTTGCAGTTGTTATTATGGCCAGAAAATAATTTCTACGGCAAATTTGATATTACACAGACATCCGTCTTCTGTTCATAGACACACAGGGATGTTCCAATAAATAAATAGATAGATAGTTTAACAAAACAAAGGATATCCTGTGATATCCGACAAGAAAGAAACTAAAATAATGCTATTAAGTGAAATGTGGAACAAGCTATAAGGTCTTGTTAAGCAGCAAACATAATCTATTTTCTAATCTTGGCTGGAAAATTTCTCCAGCCAACTCAATTTGCAAATGTTTTAGTTGAACTAGGAAATTAACAAAATTAGAATGGATTTAGCAGTATGTAGAAGTACTAACAATGATGGGAAACCACTCTTTTTCTAAGATATTTGATAAAAGATGTATTTAAGTCTGTAAGAATGCACTGAGTATGAATTACTCAAGAAGGAATTCAGGACAATACAATACCAAGTTTAGTACCATCAGAAATAAGATTTACTCCATTACCTAGTTACCTAGTAACCACAGCATGTTATCTGATCTATTTCCCTTACAACACAATAAACAGCTTTCTATTCTTTCATTTTAAAAACAAATGTATCTGTGTCTATTTTTTTTTAGTATGCAAGCCACTTCATAACAATTCTCTAAAGTCAAGGTGATATATTAGTCTATATGAATGAAAGTAATTGAATACTTAAATAGGCCATATACATCACTTCACCATTTCAGGTAAAAAATAACTAACATTAAACTAATTCTGTAAGTTTTTAAACTTACGAGTTTATATCTTATCTATGAGATACCTTCTGTTACTTGCTAATTTTTATTTTAACTCATTCTCATAGAGTAAAACAAAAATATTTCACAACACAGAGTAAAACGTACGTGCGTGGAACCACAGCAAGTATTACAGTGTGTTCTGATGGCTTTGTGGCACGAATAGACCTAAGAAAACAATATTTTCTCAGTTACACCACATGCTTTCTCAGTGTTACACGCAATGTCTTCACAGGCAATATAAATGAAAAACAGTTCTGAAAGAGTCCAATGAGTTATGAAAATAGGACCAACTGGTCCTCACTTAGACATTCAATTTCTTTTGGTATCAGCCTCCTCAGAATCTGCACAATACAGTGCAGTACAGAGACAACAGCTCCAAATACTCTTCAAATCTAGTAAATCTAGGTAAAGGCAGGGCAGGCTGCCCTGAACGTAGGGGTTGACAAGATGCAATGTCTATACAATGCATTCTTGGTATCTGTTAGCTCAAAAACTAATTAAACAAGAATCTTTACCACCTTCTCCCACCTTCACAACTGTCCTTTCATATACTGTAAAATTTTCTTTGAAGTATACAAAGTGCTCTTGGGGCACACTGGTAAGAAAAGAAAGTATAGCAAATACACTTCTCTATAGAGGACTACGACCACCATGGTTAACAAAATATCAACACTTTATGTTACTGAAGAACTGAAAAAAAAAAAAAAAAAACAACCAAGAACACTCCATTCATCTTCCACCAGTGAAAAATACATGTTTTTCAAACATATCACTCTCTTCTGAATAAAGAGCTGTCATATGCATGTGTACTTCTTCCAGAAACACTTCCATAACCTTAAATATGTGAACTTTAAAATATTTGTCTTAAAAAACAGAAATTTCAGTTCATGCAAGACTGAGAAATGTAGTGTGCTGCATGGTAAAACTGATTTTCCATTTCCATTTCCACATGTACAGAAGAGTGATGTGAGCTTTTGTGAAGAGCACTCACTGACGTGTGCCTGACATAGTCAACAAACAATGGCATTAGTTTCAAGCCTTGCAGCTTAAAATCTTGTTACAGCACTAACTCAGGAAAAGAGATCCAGGGAGAAGCAGATACAGAAAGCACAGAGTGATTGCACAACAGCTGTGGCTTATGCTCCGAATAATGCTCATGATTTTAAGAGAGAATTCTACAGGTCAAATGTCACCCTGGCCAAAAGCTTATTTTTCAAATTCTACTCCTCTTAAGAGGAGTTCCTAAGAGTTCTTAAGATCTTCCTTAAAGAGAGAAGAAAACCTCTTGTACTCAATCTCCAAATTTCCAATTTGTGCATTCTTCTTTATTTTTTTTTTTGTAATTAAGAGTATGGATTTTGTATAATATATTCCAGACTTCAAGAATAGCATAAGGCCCTTTAGTTACCTGCAGATATCTTCTGCATCAAAATATCTGGAATTCCTGTGATCTATAACAATTATTTCCTGGTGCTTATCAAGGAAACATTCAAGTGCTGATTCTGGAGTCTGGGCAATGTTGCACCTGTAACCAGCTCTATCACAGGCCCACCAGAAGCCGTCACTTTGGTTGTCTTCTTTTGCAAAGATCAGCAAAACCTGCAAAGCATGCAGAGGCAGAGCAACATCAGTTTAAACATGCAGAATAGTTATCCACATGGCAAAAATCTTAACAAACACTTCTACTAATTGAAAGATCAAGTCCACTCTGAGAGTGGAAATATTGGACTGCAGATGATAAAAGAGCTGTCACAGTGGATAACTTAATTAACAGAGTGATTATCAACATAGCATTAACTGTGTAGGACTGATATTTACTGCTTTTGAATAAGCTGTGATTGTTCTGGATGTGAAAGTGTTGGCAGGTGACAGGTTACCTTGCTGTGCTCATTCCTAGAGCATCATGGCTTCAGGAGCACTACGACTACTCAGGCAGTTTTGACACACAGGCCCCTATCTAAACAGATGCCAGATTCAGCGAGCAGATGTTCAAACATCATTCCCATTTTAAGGTTGTGGGAGTTACACACATTTTAAATTGTAAGGAACTTTCTGAAATGTAATTGACTTTTTCTTTCAAAACAGAAGAAAACAATAGATGAACAGGTATGGAAAGGGCTGGGTAGTAGGAAAACAATGATTCAGACATTGCAGCTGATCACTAACCATGCCACTCCATGTGACAGATAAAGAAAAACATCAAATTATTGAAAAAATGCTGTGAAAAAGAAAGGCTTTAAGAAGTCAGAAGTTCAACTATAGGTATTCACATTGCACAGAAAGGCAGAAGACTGAGGATAATCTATATATAAAGCAAAATCCTGTTCATTTTACAAACAAAAGTAACCTCCAACTTCACTGAAACAATCTGAGCAAAGTTTTTCAAAAATGCTCACAAGGAAGGCTAATAACCTTTCATCTGTGATGCTGCATGTCTGTAATATCACCACATAAAATTCAACACCATCAGCCCAGAAGCTAGACAATGCGACCATGCCCTTTCTTTTATCCTGAGCAGTATGGAATGGTCTGGAATGGTCTGGAATAGTCTAAACAATGAACAGAGACATTAATGTTACTGAGGCTGGACTATCATTAAAGATTTCATTAAAAAGTAGTAAAAAATTATATGTTTGGAACTTCAATAAATATTAAGAAATTCATCTGAAAGCTTACTGCCACTCATCATCCAAGATAGCAACTGTCACTCTACCTAATCCATTATCTTTTCCAGTTATCAAACATTCAAAAGCAGTTACACGGTTCTGCTATAGAACTTTGCATATACTCTGGTAAAGTAGCTACTCTGATTCAATCCTGTTTGGCTCCAGCTGCTGTTGGAGAAGAGGTTTTTCTTTGAAGATGTTTTGATATCTTTCTTCTCTCAACATTCCCTACTTGGAAATACAGGATTGCAAAATTCAGCCATTTACCAGATGCAAAGTACTGGAGTTTAGTTAAACTACCTGTTCCCCCACTGGAAACTAAATATCAGTGTGTGAATCATTCAGAGAATATTAACTTTAAAGGTACCATTAAAGCATTACTGCCATGCCTGCTCATTAAAATTTGTATGAAGCTTACTGTAGAGAGTGAAAACACAGCAAAACTTGAATTATGCAAATACGTTGCAAGCTAATCTCCCAAAATCAAAATGAAAATACAGCAATCTGTGTAAATCAGACAGACAGTATGACAGGAAATCGAATTTAATCTGTATTTCTTGATGGAAAACATCTGTTTTGGTATGTGGTTTGTTAGCCTTGCTGTGAATAGGTCTTTTTTATCCAGTGCTGCTTTGACATAGGAATACCATACACTTTTCCTGCTGAGATTTTTTTTTTTTGTAATCTATTGGAATTCCTACCACAGTTTTCTGAATTTGTTTTGCACAGCTATTGTATGTCTTGTTCCCAGTTTATCATGCAAATACAGAAAATGGATTGAGATCTGCTTTGAAAATCTCAAAATACAGCCCAGTGAGAACAGGTGCATATACACCAGAAGGAAACAATGAGAAAATCAAAAATAGAACTTAAGAAGTCATAAAACATGACACCTAAACCTTTTTTATGCCTCTGTGGTATTCCAGTGAAATTATTTTAATAATGTCTTTAATATAGCCAGAGGGATACTGTGTGAAACATTAAATGGGCAGGAAAACAATTAGATGCTGGGTATCATCAACACTTCGGCTGCAGCTCAAGAGGGGAAGATCGTCATGATTAGAACAGACATGGAGCTCACCATCAACACTGTGAAAGTGATGATGACCAATGAGTTTCATAAGAGGGAGAAAATGCAGTGTTTGAAGGGGGAGCAGGATTAAGCAGTAAAAGAAAATGAGTGAATGATGACAGGTGGCAGACAAACTTTACAGCAGTTCTCTGGAAGGAAGCAAGAGGTATTTGCTTAGACCAAACAAGAAAGAAATGTGCTTATTAATACAGAAGACAGGGACTATGGGGAAAAGAAAGAGTAAGCATTTCAGTTTGTGTGTTAAAGCCATGAGTGCAGAAAAGCACCACAGTAACTGCAGGAAACAACCACATTCACTTCCAGTATATGAAGTTCTGTGAGGAGATGATGACAAACTTCAACTCAAATGCCAATAAAAGCTTCAGGAGTGGTAATTACTATAATTTCTGTGCCTTCCTCACCTTCCACTCCTTCCCATTCTAAAATGTTAACTCATTGGTCATTAGGGAAATTACAGCTCATACATGGTTTCACTCTAATACGACATAAAAATAAAGGAGCAAGAGTTTTTCCATTAGTCATTGCTTTAAAAGGCATTCAGATTGTATGTTGAAACATAACAGTCTGACCTTCTGTCTCTGCCCTTGCCTTAACAATCATTAAGTTTGCAGATGTAAATTTTCTTCCTGTTTTGCAACGTTGTCCCCATTAGTTGATAACAAGTTTCTACCTATGGTCTGATCTCCAAGCTAAGCTCACATTAATCATCAGCTGAAAAGATTCCCATTCAATCCATTTGATTACATGTGAAGGCATTTGATGCAAGCCTACTCTTTGCCATTAAGAAATTATCTCCTCTATTAGAAGTGTTAAACTCAACAGAAGTTCCTGATCACATCCACTTTTTTTCTGATTTTCCCTGACAATCACTGAGCCTCTTTTCTCCTAATCTTTAAATCACATAGGGCACTGACTTAAAAATCATATAGGAAAGTCCCATATACAAACCTCTGTCAGCCCTAGTTCTGCAAATGAGTACCGTATTTCTTTTTCATATGTACTAGATGTTAACACATCTTTCTCTCATGTCACTGGGGGAAGCTGCACATTTATAATGAGGCTGCTCTGAAAGTAATGTCTCTATTCTATGATGTCCCATGACATCAGAGGCAGATGTTGGTGCTATGGCAGTAGAGGTTGAACCTCCTGCCAGTATTCCTTTCCATTTTGTTGCCATGTGACAGATGGAGGCAGAGAGGCACTCTGACAAAATCATGTCTGACGTGAAAGTGTGTATGAAGCAAAGGTGAGTCACTGAATTTTTCCATGGAAAAAAAAAAAAAGACATTTACTGACCCACTGACATCCATGGATGCTTGCTGAGCACTTAAGGAGATCAAACAGTGGATATGAGCACAGTGAGGCAGTGGGTGGTGTGTTTCAGCAGTGGTGACAGTGACATGAAAGACAAGCCACATTTTGGACAGCCATGCACAGCATTCACACCACAAAATGAAGGGCATTTTGATCAGCTCATCTATGTGAATTGGCAGATTCTGATCTAGGAACTGTGTAGAGAGCTTCAGTGTGTTGGAAACAGTGGTGACAATGTTAGAATATGGCTAAGTTTGTGCCAAGTAGGCTCCACTAATGCTCACACAGGAAGAGAACGAGCATCATAAGCAAGTTTTTTCAGGACCTGCTGAACCAATACAAGGCTGAAGGTGACAGTCTCCTGGACTGCATCACTACTGGTGATAAGATGTGATGTTACCACTACAAGACAGGGTCAAAATAGCAACATGAGAATTCCCCACTGAAGAAAATGTTTAAGACGTAGCCCTCAGCAAGTAAAGTGATGTGCACTGTCCAAAAGGAATAGAAAAGGGGTGATCCATTTGGATTTCCTGGAACCCAGACAAACCATCCGCTGCTACAAAATGCTGTCTAAGCAGAAGACCTGAACTTCCAGAGTAATGTTAGAGAAGAAGACAACCTTTCTCTTGCAAAGCAATAATGCCAGATCCCATACAAGTTTGAAGACCATAGAGGACATTGACACTTTGGCTGGACTGTCCTACTGCATCTACTGTATAGTCTAGGTTTGGTGCTTTCTGACTGCTATTGGTAAAGCTGATAAAGGATGAACTGCATAGTCAATGTTTTCCTACCAGCAATAACACCACAGCAACTGTGAAACAGTGGGTCACTTACCCTGGTGCATACTCTTACAAGTGCAGCCTGCAGGCTCTTTTTCAATTAAAATGCACAGCTAATGGTGGTAAATGTGTTGAAAAGTGGTGTTTTGTAGGTGAGAATTTGCTCTATCAAATAGTGTTATAGTGCTCTTTGTTTTATTTTCCATGGAAAACAATAGGAGGCATTACTTTCAGAGTGACCTATGTATGTACATTTTTCTCAGTCAATTCTAAGGTCTTACAACCAAATTAAGGCAATTCGTAAGCGCTGGTACAAAATCGGGGCGGACACATAAGCTGCATGCTGGGAGGGCATTTGGAGGGTAAAAGCTGGTACAAACCAAAACAGATTTGTCCTCTAACACAGATGGTCATAAAATCTGAGGTGGAATCTATTAAATGGTTTATGGCAAGTCATAGCCATAACAAAGGTCACCTCCCAGACAAAAAAACACAACCCATTTGCCAGCTGGCATAGGTCTGCTGCCAAACAACAGTTCAAAACATGCACAAGCATACAATGAACATTGCTAAGAAAAGCCCTGGTGACAATTGTTTTAACAAAGTGTATTATCTTATTAGACAATTAAGAACATGATTAAGCAGCACATAAAGATATTTAAAATGCATAGTTGGTAGCCCTTTGCACTTCACAGAGAAATACATACCTCAATCATTAAGATGGAATATAAAAGATTAGCACACATTATTTAAATGAATAGGTATGTGCCATCCTTGTCAAATAAGCTGAGGTCATGTCACTTGTTCCATAAAGGAACTGAGTTTACAGAAAGCATTTTTCTTTTAGTGCAATTAATTTAGAGTATGGCATAGTCTTTACAAAATACTCTTCAAGTACAAGTTTTACTTAAGTCCTGATTTCAGCTGTAAAGAGAGCCTATGAACAGGAGGGGAGTCAACTCTGAAAGGGTAGATAGCAGCAAGACAAGGGGAAATGGTTTTAAGTTGAAGGAGGGAAGATTTAGGTTGGATGTCAGGAGGAAGTTCTTTACTATGAGGGTGGTGAGGTGCTGGAACAGCTGCCCAGAGAGGTTGTGGATGCTCCGTCCCTGAGATGCTCAAGGCCAGGTTGGATGGGCTCTGGGCAGCCTGGTCTAGTATTAGATATGGAGGTTGTTGGCCCTGTCTGTGGCAGGGGAATTGGAGATTCGTGATTCTTGAGGTCCCTTCCAACCCTGGCCGTTCTGTGATTCTGTGATTTCTGTAGCACCGCAATTCGTGTCTTCACTAATAAAGGGACAAAACAACACCCACAGCTAACTAAATATAACGATGAATGTCAAGAAAGTTTCTATACAAAACGCAGAACAATTTCCCTTCTTACATGAAGAACTATTACATGATTAAACTGCATAATAACAGCAAATACGGATAGTGTATTTTTGCAAATCCAGTTTCTATGAAGTAAATAAAGTAAAATGTTGCCATAGACAATGAGTATTCTTATTCGAGTATAATTGTGAGCATCTTACTGCAGATCATCACAGTCTACTCAGCATTTTTCCATAATTAGTTCCACATATTTACGTTTAAATTACTTGCAAATGAAGACGGGTCTACTGCCGACCCCACTGTTATGCAGTCTTTTTATGACATACACGGTTTCAAAAGATCAAGCCACTGTTAAGACTGAATTATACTTATTATTATCATATTTAATACATAAAGAAAAATGTAAGGCTTCATGACCTCCAAAACAGCATAGCATGAATTCCATGTGTAAGTTTTTCTACTTGTAGGCAGTCATGGCAAGAATAAAAGCAACAAACAAATGCAGAAAGAGTGGCTGCTAAATATCTCTGCATTTTGCAGTTAGCTGTCCAAGACTAAAAGTTACTTCTAACAGACACTGCTTTACAGGAGCAGTATTAAAGATTACACTATATGTTAAAAATAATATTCTTGGCATCCCTCTGTTTACAAACATAGGTACAAATTGTACAGAAACAGTAGTAAGTATGGGCAGAGCTGCTGCTTGTGTGACAAAATTCAATGCTCTTATTGGAACACGTGTGACTTCCTCCATCTGTGACCTGTAAAAGCACAGTTCTCTGTTCTACTGTACAAAACCCAGCAAAATTTGCCTGGTACCTAAACTATATAACAATGCTTTCTGCCGTGGCAAGTCAGGATTCAGCAGTTTTTAACATTCAGAAACAGCTGTTTTCCTTGCTGGTGCACACACACATGGACACACTCCTACTGACAGCACACAAAATAAATTACTTGATGTTAATGGAAATGCGAGCACCTTCTTTACCAAGTTAATTTAGCCACAGATCTCTTTTCAAGCACTCAGATAAACCGAAACACCAATTATTGAACTCACAGTCCTTGCAGAAGTAAAATAAAAACATGTATAACCATGCCTTAATGTTTTCACCCATTAGCACTGAATTGACTGTATCAAAAAACTGAGAGAACATCTTACCTGAACTGGATCTTGTGTCAGTCTCATAGGCCCAATTTGTACCTCTGTAGCTGAAGCCTGCTAAGTAAGAGTAATAGAGATTTTTTTCCACTCTACTACTTGACAAGATAGCATTTTGCAAGCAAGAATGAAAGATCAAGCATAACCAGTAAGACTCTCACAGAATAGCCACACAACATGCAGCCTTTATCCAGCTGCTTTAAGTATAGCTTTGATAACAGATAACCAAGCTCACAATTTTGTTTCATGTACTTCTAAGTTAAACATTGTAGGGCTTAATGCAGTAACCACCATCTTTCTCCTTCCCCAGAGCACTTCAATTACAAAGGACTTCTGTTTTGTTTAAGATAATGGAAAACTATTATTTTTCTGGCCAAATATTGCCTTATTCATTTGAATGCAATACATACCTTCAAGATCTTGTAATGTATACTGAGAATAACATTTTAATACGTTTTGTTAGAAAAACAAGTGAGTTTTCAGACAAGACAGTTTGTTTGGATTATAGTTTTAAAGATATTTTCCAGAAATGTAGCCTTTAATTTAGAGGGGGAAAAAAAAACCAAACAACATTGACATCTCTAATCAGGGTGTTTTCAGAAGACTTGAGAGCACATCACAGTTTAAAACTACAGCAACAAAATCAGCAAACATTGGCTTTCAATGCTTCGTAGCCTTATTTCCTAATAGCTGTACTACCTTCATGCTTTTTGTGTACTGATACATTTCAATATACTCCTCCTGTAATGCTGATTTGATTCACTTTAGATTACAGACTGTTCTCAAGCAACTGAACAATGCCTATGTCATCCCACAGATGTATGTACTTTAAAAAATTCTTTGAACCCACTGAATATTACTCTCTTCATACTACAGAGGATTACAAACAAGTTAGCAGTATTTGAGGGGGCAGGTTCACTGCTTTCCTGATGCCAGTGACTCCACATGCTTGGGGTAGGTAGTTCAAGCAACTGCCTTGCAGGTCAGGTGTTTCAACAAAACCCTAACTGTAGGCATATTTCCAGAACTTTCCTTCACTCCCAGGATCCCTAGATTATTATTTCTGCACCACTTTGCTGTGTACTGCTTGTTAGGTCAAGCCTTTTACTTGGGTATTACCTTATCCTCAAATATAGTATTTTTTCAAAGGACTTTACATAAATATTCAACATAGATGAAGTTACTAGTATTTGGTTTTATTCCTTGGAGGACACACCAGTGTTGCATGTATTAGTCTTGCCTTGCACTTCAGACAGTGGAATTATGCATAGTGACAAATGGCACATTGGATTTTCATACATCCCTGAGCACTGATCCTTTTGAATCCCATGTATGCCAGAAGGTAGCAAGCAGTTCTCCAGAATATTAAACCACAAAGCATTGCCATTCTTTTGCATAGCAAAAACTGCCTCCAATACACGAATACCTAACCTTTCCACACACGACAGCTTCACTTCCCACTTGATCTTCTGCCACGTTGGAAGGAAATACAGTGCAAGGAGAGATATTAGAATAGAAATGGAAGTTAGCACTGATCATAAGCCGTGAAGTAATAAAACTGGGGAAACAGAATTCTCTCAAAGCTCCTAACTCCTCTCCCCTCACAAGCAAACAGACAAAAATCAGGAAAAAGTACATTCATATTACAGTACATTATTTAAGAAACTAAAATATTTTAAAAATTGTGAATCATTTTGATTTAAATAAGTGTTCTTAAGTAGTCTCATTTGTAGAATCGATAGTAAGGGGAACAGTCAACAGATACACAACAGGCTTTGGTCTGTATCAGTCCAAAACCTTCTTTTTAAAATGCACATTTTAAAAAAACATATTGATAAGAGCCTACCATTCTTCACAAGGTACCCTTAGGACATCAATAACCATTTTATGATTCATTTAGCGGTAACACTATGGAAGTGGCATTCTAAATAAGCGATCTCTTCTTTACTACCACTTCAGAGTGCATTCAGTTTTCATTTCTTAGCTTTGTCCAAGATGGAATAACTGTGCCTAAAAAACAGATCTCCACCGCCAAGTCTATCAGATTCTTTTCAGAGATTTCTTCACTTATCTTAGCTCAGGTATTCAAAAAATGAAATAAAAATTCACATAACTGTGACTAGGAGCTTCTCTTTGTGCTGCTTTCACATCAGACTTGTGAACTGAAAATATCTGAATGCAAAGACCTGAAAATCAGATCCTGTCTTTTTTTTTTCTTCCCTCTAGTATTTGAGGGTGTTCCTGTCTCTGCTGGCAGTAGAAAAGCTTAACGAGGATTAGAAAAATCGGAGAGTCGCAACATAGGTAAGCTTGTCACTGTCCTGCTCTGCAGAGATATGATTTACTTACAGTCACAGCCATACATAGGGATGTAGAAATGGTGTGCTGCTTTTCCTGAAAGACTGAAATTCTGGAAGAATGACCTTTAAGACATTCCTTATACAGCACATGGAAATAAGAGGGGCGTCCTCAAATTAAGGCTGATAATAGGACTGAACATGGGAAGGATTCATAAACCATCTCATTGGATACAACGAGGAGCATTTTCAAAGACTTCCTTCATGGACTTGGAATTCTGAGTTTCGTTTTACTAACTGAATAAATCCCCTAGATTTGTATGCCTAAATTGCATTTGGCACAAAGAACAGTCTCATTTTTCTTTCAAAACATTGCTAGAAGAGGCACAAGTACCTTGCTGTCAAAAAAGCATGGATTTCTCCTTGGCCTGAAAGAACTAATTTCAAATCTTCCTAACTCCCAGAAAAGTATGATGATGTGGATGCTGCATATTAATGATACCACGACCATACCTCTGCTCATTTCCTGACTCAAGTGAACATCTCATTGCTGATGATTTCCAATTAAAATAAATCTCCCGTTATTTTATTGACTGGCAGGAAGGACTGCTAATAGACTTGCATCCTAACTCAATTAGTACAGTATTTCATGACAAACTTTTTTGGTAAAACATGCAGAGCTTGTTTCCAAAGAGGTCAGTGAGAGAATTCCTGTTTTAATAGTGCAGAGGAACAGACACCATAAATAAACTAACCATCTGGGGATAACAGAGAGCTTAAAAACAATGAAGAAATTTTTGTTTTAACATTTCAAACTGTCTACCATTATTTCCAGTATCATCGTAAACTCCAGAGGAATCCGCTAGTAATCAAAGAATTAAAGACACAGTAAATGGTATTTTCTTAAATCCTTTCTTTTTATATAAATTGGTGATTATCAATTATCTTCCTTTCAAAGCAGTATATTAAGCAAAATGGAATCACCACTTATTAATTAAGTTCTACTCTTTTAAATCACTAATACAAAATGCTTTACTCATCATGTGACTGAAGACTTAAGGCCCCTGCAGTTTATGAATCATCAATAATTAATAGCACAACTATTGTAAACATGGTGACTAATTAGCACAGCAAAATCTTCTTGAATAACTCTTTGTTGTTCCAGAGAAACAACAGCAGCTGGGCCAGCAAAATGGTATAGCAGTCTTCTAGATGGGCACAGGAAAAACATGCCTGGTAGAGATCTCTCTTTTTCACTGACCAAGAACTGGCCCTGAAAAAGGTTGCAATCACATGTGACTTCCATACTGGACCTCTGACTTTCCATTCTCTTGATGTCTTGAATTCCCTTCTGAGACATAGGGCTCACAGCTTTTCTAAAACATCCCCAGCCTGCAGCTGTCACCAACCAGAGTGAACGTCCTCTTCCATTGTTGAGCAATGTTATGTGCCTCTCTTCTTTCCTTTCTTTAACTGTCTCATGTTGTTTAGCAGAACTATACTCCAAACTTTCTTCTCTTTCTCTTTTTTCTTTCTTTTTTTCTTTCTCTCCTTCTTTCCTGCTTTTCTTCTATCTGTCCTTCTTTCTTTCTGTCTTTGAAATCATTTCTTGTTCATTAACTGATATTCTTGTGTCACCTGAGCTTTCTATGCTTAGGATCTCTCACATGCTTCTTTTGTGAGCACCAACTGTTATAGGGAATATCTTTCTTGTCCTGTTTGGCAATTTACGTGTGTTGAAATAAGGACACATTCACAAAATAAAAATGAAATGTTTTCAGAAAGATGCCACCTCAGCCTCAGTAAGACTCTCAGTCATAATCTGCCAGTAGCTGGGAGAATAAACAAAACAGATCACTCACTATGTGCTCCTCCCAGGGCTCCTGCTGCTGGAGATCTGGCCCTGAGCTAGATGGTTTTTGGTGTTTAGAGATCTGGTCCTGGCTAGATGGCTTTCCCAGACACCATTCCTCCCTGATTCATTCATTTAATCAGTTGTCTCAGATAATTTTCTTTTCTCACCAACACAGCTACTCATCCAGCAGGGAGGTAGCTCTGTTGTAATGTACTCCTCATAATTCTGTTCCCATCTGACTTTTTATTCATTTTTTTTCTGCAGCTTCCAGTTGATTTGTGGTTTTACTTTTCCAGCTGCTCAGGCCCTGATTTCCTTAGTTCCCACAAAAGGGCTGTAAAACCACTGTTCTCTTCAATGCCAGTCAGCTGCCATCTTCCCAGAGTCCAGAAGAACATTGAACATTCTGATAGCTAAAGTTAACGTAGAATTATGTTGCTTTATTAATTTAAAATGATGATCAAATGCACGTAGTGCTTAGAAAAAATAAGGCCTTGTTGTTGAGTTAGCTGATTAGCCACTGTAAACTGCAGGCATCCATCCATAAGAGAAGCCTAACCCCTCAGTGTGTCATGAACGTCTTTTACAATGCTTAACAGCAGATGAACGGGAACTAGTAAATAAAAATTAAAAGCATGAAGGACAAGGGGAAATGGTTTCAAACTTAAAAGATGGTAGATTTCAATTGGATATAAGGAAAAAGTCTCCCACAGTGAGAGTGGTGAGGCACTGGAGCAGGCTGCCCAGAGAGGTGGTAGATGCCACATCCCAGGAGGCATTCAAGGCCAACCTGGACTGTGCTCTGAGCTGTGGATGTCCCTGTTCATTGCAGGGGAATTGGACTAGGTGATCTTTAAAGGTTCCTTTAAAGATTAAAGGAAAGAAAATGTAGTTCCTAGATGACATTT